AAGTCCATAAAATGATACTCAAACCTTGTGTATTTGGGATATTTCATACAAGCCTTTATGATTTTTGAGGTTTCCTGGACCTTAAGGTACAGTTCGAGACAGGACCAACACCCACTTTTCTTATTCAAGCATTTAACCATTATTTGAGTTGTTGCACTTGTATCCAAAGAGAAAACGTTTTTGCTGATTAATTAGCAGTTTAATTAGAAAGGTTGATAAGGAAGTTTAATTAGCAGATATTGCTTCTAAACCTGGTAATGCTGCCTTCATCTGTTTATGTCATTTTGATTTGAGTTGCTGGGAGTTGGAAAACGAAACTGAACTGTTTATTGCACTGTATTAATAATGGGAATCCTTGATAATGATATATCATAATCTGTTTTGAAGAAGCAATTATAATTTTATCAGGAAATTCATAATTTCACCAGGAAGCTCATTCCACAGCTTTTAACCAAAGTTGACATTTGAAGTGATGTTACTGAACTGTATTCCTACATGTCTGGATATCCCCCTCTTGTTTATTTCCCTATTGATATAAGAAGAAGATTCAAGTATAAAAAAAGTTTTAAGATAAATCTCAAGATTGTAACAAGCAATAAAAACAAGTAATAATGTTCCTGGCTTGTTACAAAGCTGTCAAATTGCACAGGAAAGAAGCAGCATTATGTGTGCATGTGCAAAACATTAATTAATGAATGAGTTGGGGATGACTGAGGAGAAAGTAAATTGATACAATATAGGGGCATGTTGCCCTGATTGAAAATGTAACAGGAAACGTGAAATTTACATCACCTCAATTATGGCTAAGCTGCGACCAAAATAGCGCAAAATGATGTGTATATGTCATTTATCAAAGTTAAGAAAACATTTGCATTCAATTACTCAATCAATGAACAAAGAATTGGACAAGAAAATGACTCACCTGAAACAAAGAAGTATGTGTCTGCCATTTTGCATAGGATATTTTCAGTAGTCTTTTTTTTATAATTTTTTTTAAAGGGGAAGCATATTTCAGTCAAATATATTTAAAAAAATACTCTAGAGCAAATTTAATACATTTTGAATACAATTTTCGGCTAAAAAATTGAACCTTGTCAAAGCCGTATAATTTTCCCTTTGTTTTGACTCTTATGAAAGCGACAATTTTGCATGCGCCAGATCGGCGGATAAAAAAATCTCGATGAAACATTGGCATGCAAGGATGTTTTAAAGGTTTTTGCAAGTGTTTAATCGATTATTTTCTTTTCGATTTTTTATTCGTGCATACTAATATTTACATATGGAAAATATACCCAATCAGGGCAAGACAACTAAGAAGTATCATAGCTTTTTCAAAAAACTTTGTAAAACTAATAATCTGATTTTTTGAAATATATATCTGAAGAGTCTGGAGGATTTTTCAGTGGCAAGTTTTATGTCTTAAGTCTATGCCAAATAGAAAAATTTTGATTTTATCTAGGTATACTCAATCAGGGCGACGTGACCCTATATATATATATTTAGATTAAATATGTATACAGTACTGTTGTACCAGTCTGTCATATACCAGGGTGCATTTCGTCTTGACTGTATGCTGAAGGTCCACCAGGGCATTTGTTTAGGTACACTGAAAATATGAGCAGTTAATAAAACTGTAAATATCTTGATTAATAAAATGATTAATAAAGTAAACTGTGGTGTGTGAGTTTTTATTTAATGGCTTTGCATGTTAACTATGTACGTGGTTTCTTTTTTTATGTCCAGTTTTATGTACGCCAAAATCTTTTTATTGGTTTGCAGTTGAACACCGAAAAAAAACCTGAGTGCACGCCAAAGATCTTCAGGCCTAAGAACATGAAATGCACCCTGGGTCATAAAGTGATTAATACTATATAGGCAGAGGTGTACTAAACACTTTGGTATATAGAGATGGGCAGTTGTGCCTGACAATTGCATCAAACATGAAACTTAGTGCTGCAACTTATAACCTTGCTGTACTGTATTCCATTTTTTATACTCAGGTCGGAACAAGAAACAGATGGCTATTCATACCATATCTTGCTCGATAGCTTTAAGTTTTCATGACATCATGATTCCAATATACTTAGATAGCAAAGGCTACCAAATGGTTATTTAAAAAGGCTTCAAATTGCCAAGGCAAGGTGACAGAATTTTTGGAGTGGTTTGAGAAGGAATTATCAAAAATTGACATCAGTTTCTGTAAAAAATGAGAAATAATATGTATGTTTGTAATCAGTTCCAATTCAGAAGGCAAAAGTATGCAATGTGAGATTCATGGACATTGATGTTTCCCTGTATGCCAGTAGACTAATGGTTATTAAAGATAACTGGCTTTAGTTATTGCCTACTTTTTCTTGTCTTCCTAATAGATAACCTTATAACCTTTTTATTCTATCCTGTATTGTGTACACACCAATCTTCTTCAGTTTATTTTTCACCGCTTTTATTTTTTGTACAACCACTGAATAAGAATAATTTCATTTGATATCACAACTTTGCTTATATTCTCAAGACAACATTTTTGTAATCAGATTTGCCCATATTGAATTGTTTAAAGGGACCATGCTATTTCATGTGCTATGTTTGGGTCAAATCTTGCCCTAAAGTTTTACACTTTATTTTTTAAACAATCTTTTGGTGGTACAAAACTTTTAAATGGCTTTGAAAAAAGCAAACATTTAGTAAACTAAAGCTATTTCAATCCACAACTGGGTGTATATATTTCTTAGCGTAGAGTTTTCGATCTATGTTCTAACGTTTTAAACTCTGAAGAGTGTCAAACGAAAAGCTTTAGTTTACTAAATGTTTGCTTTTTTCAAAGCCATTTACTTTATTTTTTCTAATTCATTTTGTTTTTGTTGCATTTACAACTAAATAATGATTACTCGATAAACTTTGATTTATAAAGGGCAAAATATAAGTTGGCCCAGATGCACTTGTATTGAAGTAAAGTGGAATCATTGAAAATCAAAAAAAGCTTTTTCCACTACGACAAATAGTAATGCCATTTCTGCTAATGAGTTTGTCCTGCGTCAAGACAGTGCAACCAAATCTTTGAATAATTAGTCAAAATTTAACAAATCCAGCAAGAGAGAAATTTTGCTGGGCACACTAAAATGCTTATTTAAAGCAATTTGAGATCTATAGTTAGAATACAATAGTGATTATGTTTGTTATGATTTAGCTGTTTTTCAGGCCTTTACAGTTTAAATCAATTCAATATTTTGGTTGTTCGCATTGGATTTATATATCAACATTCCTTCTCGTCATTTTGCAGTGTTTCTACCCATCATTTGCATCAATTTTGGTATTCTTAACTATCATTTACTCAAAGACTGCTACCTTGAAATAGTGAAATTAGAAAGAAGTTCAGTAAATTTTGTTGAAATTTTAATTGCCAAGAGACAAAGAAGCAAAACATATATTTTCTTAATCCAAGAAATTTATGGTCCTCCTTACAGGACATGTATATTTAGTAATCGACTGCTGAAATGAGCAGCAATTTCTTATTATTATTGGTATGTACAGCAAACACACCAAGGGGTATAACTTTCATGAAAATTTGAATTCAACATTTGCTGTATGTTAGCTTATCATTTCTGATATTAAGGAAGTAGTGAAACAAAATGTTGCATTTGGAATATCATTAGCATAGGAAGTAAAAGAAATTGCACCTTGAATGGATACTTGAAGCACCCCAGATCTAATTTGGCTAGGAATGAAGTGTATTATATGTGCAAATAGCTTCTATATGCTACTTAGATGAATTGGTTTAGAAAAATTAATTATTCTCGTGTCATTTGTAGTTAGGTACCTAACTTTGTTTATAGACTCTGAAAATATCATTTTCTGACAAAGGACATTTGTGTTATATACTTTCAAAAACCTTTGTCTAACAGATTCTTTGTAAAACACTTTGAATAAGAAGCTCAAAAAAGAAGCTTTGATGTGATGTTCCTGTTTAGTATCTTGTCAATTTGAGTGAAGAAAGAAATTTTGACAAATCTTAGAAAAGTAATGCTTGAAAAACAAACTTAAAAAAAAGAGAAATTTCCATTTGCTATGTTATCTTTTTCTAGTTTAAAGTATTATTCAGCATAAAGTATTTGTTGTTGCTATTACTGTTAGTGGCCCTTATGTTGTTGTTGTTACTAACTAAACTTTTCATTGGCTTTTTATTTCAAAGATTTTCAGGATGTTCAGACTTTCCCTCAGGGTTTTTGAATGGTGGAGAAGACCAATGATTATGCAAATATGCATGATTAGCAAATTCGGCTGTTGTGTAATTTATTGAGCAATTTTGATGCAATTTTGATAAAAAAGGGGGGGCAAGGAACAAAAAATTATATGACTTTTTATGCTTTCACTTGATGATGAGGCTGTATGTTGAAACATTGTTAATAGACCTTATGCCATTCTTTGTTTTATTACAAGTGAATGTGTATAGGGCATTATGATATAATGAACGGAATTGAATTAGGAATGTTATTATGTGGCAAAAGTTGCAATGGTTCCTATCATATCATGTGACTTTCCATCGTTGATGTTTGCTTAGATTCCTATTTAATGTGCAAAGAACACGGAGCCAGTGTGAAAGACAGTGTGTTGCCTGTGTAACTCTGATGTGAACTGACTGACTAACATACAAATGAACATACTTATTTACAAAATAAATGTGTTGAATAAGGATGAGTTAGGATGATGTATTAATGATGTAATGGAAAAGGAAAGATCTAGACTTGGGAAGAAATCAGCATGACATAGATGTGTGAATTTGTAAACAATGGTGAAGGGAATGTCCTGTGGTAGGTGATGCAGGAATGGCGTAAGTTGATGTCATTGCAATTGCATGATCGATGAAGGAGTAGGAAGTGCGTGTAAAATGGCCTAAGTAGAGTCACTACAATGATGACAAAATATACCAAATAATCTGAAACACATTAAGATATATCTCTGCTAACAGTCTTTGTTGTGTTAAACTTATTATGTGTTCTTTATAGTTTGCTGGCAAGTTAGTTCAGTTGGTGTTGCTGAAAAAGCATCCACCACTGCAAAAGCAACTACCAATTCAACTACAAAAGCAACCACCATTTCAACTACAAAACCAACCACCACTGCAAAACCAACCACCACTGCAAAACCAACCACTACTGCAAAACCAACCACCACTGCAAAACCAACCACCAATTCAACTACAAAACCAACCACCAATTCAACTACAAAACCAACAACCAATTCAACTACAAAACCAACCACCAATTCAACTACAAAACCAACCACCACTGCAAAACCAACAACCAATTCAACTACAAAACCAACCACCAATTCAACTACAAAACCAACAACCAATTCAACTACAAAACCAACCACCAATTCAACTACAAAACCAACCACCACTGCAAAACCAACAACCAATTCAACTACAAAACCAACCACCAATTCAACTACAAAACCAACAACCAATTCAACTACAAAACCAACCACCAATTCAACTACAAAACCAACCACCACTGCAAAACCAACAACCAATTCAACTACAAAACCAACCACCAATTCAACTACAAAACCAACCACCAATTCAACTACCATGCCACCAACTACATCTCCAAAGCCAACTACACCATACCAACATTATTTCAAGCTTACTTTGCACAAGGATAATGTTAGTTGTGCAATGATTGAAGGATCCATAAAATTCGTGGTTCAGTACAAAACTACAAAGGACAAAAAGGTAAGCTTCTTTTTGTACATGGTTTTTTGTAAATGTTTTACAATACATAGGTACCTCATATTGTTTATGATATTTCCATTTGCTTGCCACTATCTGTTTGAGGCACAAGATCAAGATGCATGGAAAGAAATGTGGAGACCTTTTGCTCGTGTGAAGTTTTCTGAAAGGGAGCTTTTAACCCTGTTTTTACAACTTTTCCGCTAAAACTGTATTTTTATCATATGTAAATACAATATGATTACATTGGAATATTAGGGAAGAAGGATTCAATTTTAATGTTGTTGAACATTGGTATTATTTGAAGGACAGAATTTTTTGATGTCTTAGGAATATTAAAAAGGAATAAATAATAATATAATAGTTTATGAAGACCATGTCAAGAATTATTTTTATTTAAGATCATGAAAATTTGTTACAGGAAGCCAGAAAATATTTATCAATACTTTCCAAGCAGCTAGCAACAGCTTTATTTTTCTTTTTCACAGATGAACTCTGCAAGCTTTTACTTGCCAGGAGGTGCACAAATGAATGGCTCTTGTGAAAATACAACCCTAAAAAATGATTCAAAAGCAATGATTTCTCTAAGTTTTGATCAAACTAAATTTGAGTGGACATTTGACGTGAAGAAGGATTATTCTTGGTCAACATTGAATATGACATTTTTTGGCAGTGTCAACAGTTCTCTTTTTGACAACCCTGCAGGTATGGCTCTAAAATAATTATTCTCTGACGTTTTCAACATATTGCAAAAATAATAATAAACATTATTTGTTGTTAGAACTTTAATTTTGAACTTGAATAGCTGCTGTAATTGGGTCAAGCATTTAGTCAAGAAAAACATGGGTATTTACATTGACACCCATTTGAGTTGAGAATAATTAGTCGGTATAAATTAAATCTTAGTCGGTATCTCATCTTTTTCTTTTGCTTCTAGAAAATGTGTTTGCAGCCATTGGAAAGGAATCAAATGTTAAGGCATTCACTGCCTCAAAGAATCATTCGTATGAGTGTGGAACTACTGAAAGTGTTGTTCTTGATGGCAACGTAACAATTGTCTTTGAGAAAATACATATTCAACCGTTCCCAGTTTCGAAAGAGAAATTCAACAAAGGTATGTTTTTATGCTCCTACATTGCTGTATAACTGAAAGTATGAAGACCATGAAAATTCAGTCGGGAACATGCATTGCCTAGTAATGGACAGCTAGCTACTCTAGCCATTACTTCTTATTCAGTAATCCTTGCTACAAAGAGGGTAAAGACGTAACCAGCTCTTTTCTGTAACATGCATTGCCTAGTAATGGACAGCTAGCTACTCTAGCCATTACTTCTTATTCAGTAATCCTTGCTACAAAGAGGGTAAAGACGTAACCAGCTCTTTTCTGTAACTTAATTTTCTAGCACCATTTTTATCAGAGCAAAGACATCATTCTTTCATATCTAATTGTTTTGGCCATTAGATTAATTGATGTCTGTTCTTGTAATTTGAAATGTTTTGAAGGCAATCCTGAGTGAGAATCGACTCTTCTGTAATGACATGAACATCGATCTCTACTTTGAGGAAGCGAATATTTCGTTCTTTCGTGACACATGAAAAGGCAACCTATCCTTGTCTCTTCTGGGCATTGACATGGGTGTTTTAGAATTTTCTATAGCCTAATTTACAAATGAGATTGTGCAGCTAACTGGTCTAATGGAATATAGACCTCTCCTGTAAATTCTTCTTGAGTTCATGAAACATGTCACAATGATGTCATCCACGCAGCCCTTGGTGGACTTAGCCACTGCAAGCTATTTTCCTAACTTCTTTGATATGTTGTTGTGAATCAGCTTTTTTATTCCTGCTTTCAAAGTGTATATATGTTTTAATGTAGAAATATATTTGGGCGTGATTCTGCGCACAGAACTCTTTATTTTCTCCATTTGCTTAACTTTCACTTGAAATTGTCACATGTCGTCATATTGACTTTCTTCGGTCTGATTCTTGTAATTTTTCATTGTTTTTGCATTGTATTGGATCTTACCGGTTTTTTGTAAGATTCGTGGTTTCATTTTTATTGACTTGCATAGCATTTTGCCCGCCATTTGAGAATTCTTCTGTGTTCTTGTGGCCATTTGTTTGTGTATATAACAATACGTAACTCAAAATTATTCGCAAACATGACAACGAATGATGCTGTCATGTCATCCTTCCCGGGTTCCATTCTTCTTGACTCGAGATCCTTTGAAGCCACTTACATTTCCATCGAATTCTCTTTTCATGCAAAGTGAGCATGTTATTTCATTCAGGTCCTCGATTTTGTGATTTGGTCCAAAGTTGCCCCCCGTGCCTGTATTTGTATCAGTTTTATTTTATCCTCATGAAATGATCTCAATTGGGTTTCTTTTTGTTCCCCTTTTTTGTGGTGCGCAAATCTTGATGCAATTTTTTCATCGTATATGTTTGTGTCAGTATTTGCTTTTATGATATTTTTTGTGTATGTGTCACGCTTTTTAAAAATGTTGGCATGTGATGAGATATTGAAGATGCCTGTTTTTGTGGAAAAATTTGATGGAAGGATAATATGCTTCATATGATGTGAAAGGGCAAACCAGGGAATGGGGCCCTTATTTGAAGCATTTTCCTAAGAGAAGATATGTATTGGATCACATAACCCAAATTTACTATATGGAGAAGTTTTATGGATCCTATGTTGCTTGATACACTTTCCTTTGTATCCCAATTACCCATGTCCTATATTGTATACCTAATTGGTAGTGGTGTGTAGTTGTTCATGGGCTTTCTGTTGTTTCTTCGCAGCTGAAGTCTGCCAGACTTCCACCCCCTCGAAGTCGACCAGCAATGTTGTTCCGATCGCCGTCGGTTGTGCTTTAGCTGGACTTATTGTCATTGTTCTCATCGCTTATTTGATTGGACGACGCAAGTCAAAAGAGCCAGGCTACCAGCAGTTATGATTGGCTTATTTCTTTCGCACGAGATTCTATTGCTTGAAGCAAGATATTTGTCAACGCATTGAATACACACGGGATTGCTCCAGAAAGCCTCATGAGGAATTTGTATTTGTAATTTGATGAAACTCTCCGGACTTTTCGTTATATTTTAAGGTCGTACAGCTTCTATTCTGCGAGCGACACCTTCTGAATCGTTTTCAAACTTTTGATATGACTTAAAATACAGTGCATCTTGCTTTCCTGTCGCTGTCTAGAATTTGGAAATGATTGTCTATGATTTAGAAAGGCAGTGAAAATAAACTTTGTCTCAGAGAAGCTGTTTTTTAATAGTAAAAAAAAGCAGGATTTGTTGTACCTTGTGAAATAAAGACCAGAGAAAATTGTTCGAGTCAGTTAGGTTTAATAGCCTTGACTTTTCTATGATACTTTCTTGATTTCAGTGATTTATGCACACAGAATTACCTCTTTATTTTTCCTTAATTTCAGTTAATCAACTTTTTTTAAATTTGAAAATTGTAGTTCGGAATTCTAATCAAAATAAAAGAGGTTTATAACTACTCTCCTTTGTTCTGGACTGTGCCTGTCGGTAAAGTTTTTTATGCGTGGCTTTGTCTTTAAGTGTACCGTTTCAGAACTGCTGGTCTTTTGGTTTGTATCTAAGCAGAATGTGTATGGAATGGTGCCAAACACTACTTTAAATTGGTAGGATCACCACTGGTACAAAGTCACACCAGAAGTCTCAATTTCCTATCCAGCGTTTAAACCTAATATCCGCCATCTTGTCTCAGTCCGACACTCAAAGGTCGCTAAAGATAACTGAAATCAGTCCACGTTCTCTATTGTCCTAAACTTTCTGCTAAATTTCATCTCAGATCAATATAAATAATTACAATGATAATGTACCATACATCTGCAGATATGTGTAATCAATAAATTGATCCTTTTTTCTGCCTCTTTCTTGTAAGCTGTAGATGGGTAATATCATGAAGCAAATAGAACATACTATATTCTTCCATGTAATTTTTGATCCGCACCTAGAGATGGATTCCGTTGTTACTGCCGATCGTCCTTTTACTTTTCATCTTTGTACTTTCCTGGTTTTCATGTCAGATTAAAATGTCATTTAGTATACCGCGAAACTCTTCCGCCTCTTCCTTTCCACTTGAAAATCGTTATTGTTGGACACAAAAGTAAGCTTTCCAAGTGATTTCATTTACGGGTCATCATGAAATGAATATGTATTACGATTGTCTTCCTACGTATTCACAATGCTTGTGATCTGGATTTGCGACAAGTGCGAAGATGGGGAACACACTACGAAAGACGAGATCTTTTGCTTGCAGCGTAAGGTACTTGTAGGTAAGGGCTGGGAGTGGCAGTGCCCCTTGACAGCGAAACAGATTTGACACGAAATTGTGCTGCAGAGCATTGTTTAAGAAATTTTCACTACTGGGGAAAATTTACAAAAAGGGCCTAACGAGAAATAACCGAAAGAAGCACACTGGTCTACGCTGCAGTGAGCCGTTTATTTGAAACAATAGAAAAAAGACAAGCACAGCTAGAGAAAAAATTAATAAAAACAGTGCAATGCCAACCTCAGCCAGTTCGCACTGGACACTGTCACACAATCTTAAACCTTGAGGGGATCAGGGATCCAGTTACCCTGGGTACCAAAGCCACGTAGCGGAGGAATGTCTTCCGGAGAAGAATAAAAAGTGACTCTGGGCTAACCCTTCATCTCATATAGATGCTCCTCTTGCCTGTTTCTATCTTCTATTTCCATTCACGTATTAAAGAAGCACATGTCTTTTTTAGTATTGTGGTTAAATGAAAGGGGCACAGCATCACCGTAGAGTTATATGTAATGTTCTGATAGAAAGGATTAATTTGAGTTGGATATCATGAGATATGCTGTTTTTTTAAAAAAACGGAGGTCAGTGGAAATCGCCAGGGCCCCAAACTACTGGGGAATTTCTGTGATTTTGGTACTCACTGCTGGGAAAGGCATTGGGCCCACTGGGGGTTTTTCCCCAGTAGCTACACTGTTAAAAAAATGCTCTGTTGTGCTGTCAATGATGTTAAGCTGAAAAAAGGGAAAATCCCCCAGTTCACCGTAATGTGCTAACATGAAAATACACTGGGAGCATTAACCAATCGTCTGGTGTTTATTCTGCATCGAAGCAAGAGCAACAAGTATATTGCGACCTGTGCGTTTATTTCGGTTTTCTTTCTTTTCCTTCATAGTACCCTTACATTTCACTAAGTTGTCGTTTCCAGCTTGTCTGCACACTCTGATACTGCAACCTTGTCTTGTCTTGTCTGATACTGCAACCAGCTTGTCTATCTGATAAGAATAGATGAAAGGATTTCGCTTACCAACGACAGCTCAACCCGCATTCACACTTTCACGAGACGTTTAATGCATATATGTTAAAGTTTAGTGCATTTTCCAATCGTACACCTTGCTCTTTCTTGTTTACATGTTTCAGATGTTGCACTGTCCAAACATTTTGCTTACCCATTTTGCTTTACCACATACTTTTTATGTACGAATGCGTCACACTCTTTTAGTAGAGAGACTTCTTCTCACAAAACAATTCCAGGGGGTATAAATCAATCACTTACCACGTGTTTATACCAAACGTAACTTGATCACGTTTTGTTTACTCGCCAAGTTTACGAGCTTAGAGAGAGCTCCATTTTTTAAGGAATCCAGTGTTATGACTGGAGTCGTCATAGATGAACAAAGATGCCTTTAGTTTTATGTTTAACCAAGGTTAAGACTTTGATTTTGATTGATAATGTTTGAAAAAAAGGACAGAGCCAGATGGGTTTTGACAACAAAGTTTAATCTTAGTTAAGAAAGTTACCTATGCCAGGCTCTTATTGTCATTAGCTGCATTTCACGACTAAATCAATTAACCTTTTTCTTTCAGCGGACGAATGCACTTCTCCAATGAATTCGAACAAGCAAGACAGCCTCGTTCCTATTATTGTTGGGTGCTCCTTGGCTGGCCTCATTGTGATTGTCTTGATTGCCTATCTTCTCGGTCGTCGAAAAGCGCCTAGAGGTTACGATAACATCTAAATAGCTTGGGATCGTTCAATGCACTTGCTACGGAGTCGGTCATTATATGTCTTTCATTTTTCTTTATCAAGGCATTTCTGAATTTCAGATACTGACATGTTTACAAGAATTCACTCTGTTCTCCTGTTTTCTATCTAGGCTTTTTCTCTATTGACATGCCGAATTTTCTATCCAGTAAAAATTAGGCCCCAGATGCTCGAATTTCGAAGTTCGCGAGTGAAAATGAATGACGATGAAAGGAAAGCATGCAGCTACCTTTCACACCTCATTGCTCTTACTGATTTCTATTGGTTGCTGTCGGATGTAGAATAACCTTAAATTAGAAATGTTCATCCTTTTTAAACCCAAAAACCACCATTTCAAACAGAAACATGATCGGTAAGAATTTCAATTCAAGGTCGAGAAAGTCCAGAATCCAAGCAAACAGTTTAGGTGACATTGCCGACCGGCTCTGTTTCATATGCAACTTCGTCAACGTAATTTATTCGAAAAAAAATTTTGTTGCTTCTTTGATCTTTATATTAGTTGAAAGTAACCTGCCTAGCCAACTTTCTTTTGCGGCAACTGTCGCTCTCCAGATTCAATCACTGCAACCTTAGCGAAATTTAGAAAAGCCAAAGCTAAAATTAAGATCTGTTGTGACACGTTGAAACAGTCAAAAGTTCAAGGGGGATATGTGTTCCGATCGTATCCGAAACGTCCTCACTCTTCATATAAAAGATATCGAAAGAAAAAGGCGATGGCATAAAAGTGGTTTAGTGTCGAAATTCTCTTAAAACGACTTAAAAATTCCTCGGTTTTGTCAAGCGTTGAGTTATGCTTCCCGTCATCCCATCTTATCGAAGTTACAGAAAATGATTGTTACTGTAAATTGCTAGAAATATGGTACAAAACATTGCCCATAGTTATTTCGTCTATGGAACCCCTTTCTGCCTTTTGATGCCATGCTATTGTATTTTAATGCATTTTATCTGGTACGAAACACTTTTCACAGAACCTAACAGATAGCATTATAGTAGAATCAACTTGGACACTAGTCAACCTCAAAACCCTTCTTTGCGTTCTCAGTTCTTACTGTTCGTGACGTAGATAGGTTCATATTTAGCTGTGATTCGTTGGTAGCTGTGATTGTTTCATGTACGTAATTTTCCAATGAATGTTTATTTATCTCTTAATCATGTGACAGTTGTTAAGGATATGTGAATCAGCTAAAATTTAATTTCTTTTCTGTAACTGAGTCTCTACTTTTTCCTCGAAAATTTTTAGCGTAGTCAGCACACTCTTGTCCGAGACACTTGGGTAAGCGAGGAAGGAGCTGTGGTTGGTGGTGTTTGGAATTTTTGCATATAAAATAACCTTTCCGGTTCCTCTCTTGGGTTTGATCAGAATGATTGACAAACGTTTAGTAGACGTTTTACTGATTCAATTTTTTTCTCTAAACACAGAACAAAACTAAGCATCCATTTGTAACTATCCTTTGGAGGTTGTGAATTTTATGAAAAGAAATGTGAGTGTCTTCATTGACCAAACAAAAAAAATTGTCGCGTTAGTATTATTTTTATGTACAAGATTTGGACAGTCCTTGTCACCTTTTGCCGTTCGATGGTGTTAAACATTGTTTAGCCTGTTCTTACAAATCGTGTTTCGGAGTTAGGCCTTTGTACGCAGTCTAGCAACACAAATTCTAGTTTGGGGAATCATGCTAGTTGCTTCGAGCCTCTGATATTTCAAGTTTGATTTTGATTTTGTTACTTTAATGAAATGAAAACAGTAAGTAGAATGAAAACAGTAGAATAAAATAAGTAGAAGTCCCGCGGAAGGCACAGAGCAGAAACATTTTTGGAAACCGAGTACTCTTACAGTGCAGATTGCAGAAGCATCCCATTTCTGCCAGTTTCCATTGCCAAACCGTTTTAAATAAATTCAGTTTTACAGAAAGATCCGCTAAGTTCGAAAAATTTATTCAAGCCTTGCAAAAATTGGATGTTTTGTTGTACAAAGATATAACAGTGAATTGAATGGCCCGTTAACCCCCGTCTTTACCATCGAGAGCCCTGTATTCTAAAATCTGCCGGTCCTTATCAATAAAGTAGGAAAAGCTGAAGGGAACTATTTTCGGGGCTAACCTAGTTGGTCAATGGGGAGGAAGCTCACACACGGAAAATTTTTGCGAAAGAAGGTTGCTAGCAGGTTGCATCTGGTCGACCAAGTGCTGCTTTTTGCAGCTCAATAGAAAGTGTACGATCGCACCTCTCCTGAAACGAGTTTTCCCAATCGATAAGTGATGTCCTCCCGTCGAAAAAACAGCACAATTTTCACGGAGACTTACTCTTCTACGGAGAAGAGGCCTAGGGGCCTATACCCCCTGTAAATGGTGGATAGGTTTGAGAGGCGGATCCAGACTACAGCAACCTATGCAGAAGCCTAAGTCAGATTCTTACAACAACAACAACAAATGGAAACTGTCGAAAAATTTTAATCAATAGTTTCTTTGGCAAATTTTCTAGCGACGTCCGTCCTAGATCTGCCCCCGTTGATACCAACAACCTGCAGACGACAGGGCATATATTTTACTGACGATCTTTCGGCCTCTCCACAGAATAGTCGAGTGGCGATTCTAGGCTTTTATCTGGTCCGTATTTTCTGAATCCAGGATCTTGTTTGTTTTCGAGAGCCAATCACCGCTTGTTTGAACTATGCAAACGTCTTGTAAGCCAATCAGAGTGTACTTCACCTCTGCAATCTTTGGCGCGAGCGTAGGTGAGATTTGATTTATCAAATCAGAAGTAAGGCCTGCCTCTGCAGCGGTGACCTATGCAATTGTTCACAGTTAACCTATGCAATTGTTTGTTGCGACCAATTAAATGGGAATTCCTTATTGGAGCCCCCTATTAAACATCACTGATACTGATTTCATTCAGAAATGTTTTGGCGTTTCCAAAAGAAAAGGGCGTGGCTTCTCTTTCTGACAAAGAATTTTTCCGAAGAACAAATTTAATTTAAGCTCATTGCGGTTAAGTGGTTCCCTAACAATGGAAAAGGAACAAAATGTAATGTTGTTGTGCAAGCCGAGCAAATGGTGTGTTTTGCAATCAACAATATTAAACCACAAATCACATCACGAACAAATCAAAATAAAGTCGCTCTTCGATGTTATTGTCATATCAGTTAGTTAGGTTCTTGGATTTCAAAGCTTCGCTCAATTTAAACTCACTCATATTTATAAAAGAGCGTATTTTTAGTGCACTGGTTTTTCCGAAAGTGAAATTGTATGTGAGGCCAAACAAGCTTTTGTTGCCTGGTGCACATTTTGAACCCGGAAATCTTTATGGTGACCTTTCTTATCAGATTGTTCTTCCGTAATTTGGAAGTGATTTCTCGCTGGATCACAGAGCCCGTTTCAGCTGAGTTAACGGGTAATACCTTTCATGGCTGAGGAGATTTCCACTTTCATGGAGTGGATTGCTTCACAGTTGCAGTTTCAACGAAAGTGATGAAAATCATCATGAAATTTGATACTTGAAAGCTACTCGAGTAGCGAAGGCATGTTGGCTTCAGTCGTGCAATCGCAGGTTATTTCATCTGAATACGCGTTTACAAGGTGAGTTAATAGTTTACAATGAGATTTGTTGCAAATCAACTGTTTTCGTGAAGTTAAGAAGATTCTTCTTATAACTCAAGAACATTAAAACAGTAAGAAACTTAAAAGCATTTTCGCTATGTTGGCATAAGGTGGTCACAAAACCATTTGTTATCAGCGTAGGCCGTTTTTGCTAAAGCTGTTTAAATCAGTGGATTTGTAAGCCCCGTCAATGTATTAAATGTAATCTCAGAAGACCCAGAGTACATCAGAAGGTACGAATGTCTAGATCAACATCGTTAGATTCCCGACTGTAGCTCTCAACAATGGTGTTACAACGAAACAGGGCCCACGCAACGAGTTTCAAGGTGGATGAGCCAAGTTCTCAATGTCGAACTTCGATTTAGTGCTTCAAAACAGGGCCTCTCTGGAAATATTTTTGCCTACCAAAGAAGTCGGGGAGCCATGGCCCCTGCGGCCTCCCCCCTCCCGGTGGCGTGGGCCCTGCGAAAACGATTACACGTTCCTCTCTCCTAGTGCAAAAGGGAGCCGTTTGCAAAGCCTAAGCTGCTTTCACTCAACAAATATAAAAACAGTTTCACTCGCTTAAATATGACGCTGCATCCATTCGACATCTCATCAAGCCCACGTTTAAGACCGTCAATTTCAAGAACTGTTGTTGCGCTCAACTGCAAGAGCAAAATCACAGGTCTGTAAATACTGGGGGCAGGGACCCCCACCAATAACCTGTAATGATAGACTTCTTCAAAGGGGCCACGCTTAATGTTCTGTGTCATCATTCTATGCCCGCAATGGAAAACATCAGTAAAGATACACCTTTACACTGTTTTAGCTAGTTTATACACCCTTATAATTTAAGAACAAACTAAGAACAATACAGCCTAAAAGTTTTGGTAACACTAAGAACAGCCCTCATTCTGCACTTCAATTCACCGGTTCCATTAAAAAGTGTATTTACGAAATTAAATCGCCTATGTTTCGCGCTTTGACTTCTAATTTCATGAAAACGAAACGCGATACACCATTCTTTCAATCGCTTATACATTCCTTTCTTTGATTAACAGTATAGTCCTTTCAAAACAGGTTTAGGTCTCTTAGTTCTTAGAACAAGCAGTGTCCTGTCTGCAGATTAGTCGACTGGTATTGACAACGTTCTGTCTGTTTCTTGACACAAATATTGCTCAACCTTTTACTTATTTTAAATGCTAAACACATATCCAGTTTAAGGCTGAAAGCACTTGAGGTTTTAATAGTTTGCATCTAAATTATTATTTTGATCATCTATTGGAAAATTTTGTACACAAGATATCTTTGACCAACGTTCGCCGACACAGCTCGGGCTTTTGTAGTCATAAACGGTTTGCTTGGGTTTCATAAACGTCCAATGGGCCTAACAGGGCTCTCAACTATAATTGCAAATGCAAGACATTTCCAGGCCCGCCGATAGGGGCAAGGGGGCAAATTTCCCCAGGCCCTCTAGGTCTAGGGGGCCTCGTAAAGTAGTGAATTTTTGAATGCAAATTATCAAACGCACTTAAAGTATGCCTAAAAAATTAAAATGTTTTAAACGATTGTAGAAAAGGGACTGCATGAAATATTCTGAATGTTCGCAATAAAATTGTGCTCACTCCGCTCGCACAGTCTTTCTTTTTTGCTCCAGGGCCACCGAAACTTTTCAGCAGCCCTGGATATTTTCACAGTTTTTGGAACGGTCTTTAATTGAATGATTCAGTGGAAACACGAGAAATAACGAGAACAATATGACACACCGTACACTAGCCTTTTATAACCTGTTATACTTGCCCAGCCGCAAGGGAAATTAGGTCGTATAAAATACGGAACAGCCTAGTGCGCTGCCATTAACACTATCGACGAGTGAAAGCATTTTTAGACACCGGTCATCATTTTAGGCTCCTTTCTAACCGATTTAACGTTTTTTTGCGGAAAACGTTTGCTATCCTTTCAGGTTGTCTTATCCGTTTAGCACCATGATAAACTTTCAAGTCCATTTGGTGAATTGTTTGCTACGCCGTATTTCTTGGCTGATTCTTTCTCCTGTAGTTTTGTTTTCAAGTCGTCTATCACAAGCAGATTGCTGAAATTTAATGTGCATTGCATTTTAATCGTATATTGTTTCTCTTTATAGATTTCTATCAGGAAGCATGTTCAACCTGAAGACACTTGCTTTGAATATTTTGATCATTGGTACGTCAATTCAATATCTGGTTTATTAATATTTGATATGGTTAAGATCTGTTAAATATTTTACCAGCTCTCTAACTCAATGTCACCAGATTTCTGTTTCTCGATTTCATTTCGAAAATCCCCCCCCCCGGGAGGGGGGTCACTTGAAATTTTTATGTACGGAGGTTACCAACCGATAATTGTTGGTAAGGATTTTCCTTATGATCTAATACTTTTGGGAAGATGATTTAACAATACCCCCCCCCGGGAGGGGGGTCACTTGAAATTTTTATGTACGGAGGTTACCAACCGATAATTGTTGGTAAGGATTTTCCTTATGATCTAATACTTTTGGGAAGATGATTTAACAATATACCTTTTTGATACTCATGGGTCCAACTAACACATAACAGTATCAAAAGCAGGAACAGATAGATGTCTCTAAACTTATTATTATAGGATACAATACAGTATAAATAACTATGACTAGTGGCGTCTTATCTGTTCCACAACAAGATTTAGTATTTTGATATTTTTGGTTCTTATCAACAATTTTTAGCTAATAATTTTGGGTCTGTAAAACTTGAAAATTGCGGATGGACCTCGCCGTACATAAAAAGTTTGTGTGCCTCTCCAGGGAACACTACTGACAAATCGAATTTTTGAACAGCTACTCCAATGTCTTGAGTTATTTTTTCTCCTCTAACATTTTATAAAGAGCACCGTAAAAGCACAAAAGCCTTAAACTCCTGTTAACTTCCCGAAAAAAAGCGAAAATTATCAGAGAATTTTCAATTCAGGCCTCAACCTGAAGATCAGTGTCATAACAGTGCTTCCAAATCATTGCTGCAGATTCAGTTGTGTTATGTACCCCTTCTAGAACCAAGTGTATCACCCGAAATTTCCTGGACTGCATAGAACAGCTTTCCTTCTAATAGATACGCTATGGTTGTTAATTGATTTATTCATGTTATAATGTCATTCGAAATATCATCTTTCAAAAAACTTGTTTTTTTATCCAGGGATTCAAAATTTCTAATGTCCATGTTTCTCAAAAAATAGGCGGGAACGTTCCAGCTTAGTATGGAAGTCCCATCCCCCCCCCCCCCGAACTAGTGAGGCAAGGGAATTGTTAACATTGGTTGTGTCATTGCCGTAATATCATCGTCCCTTTAATTAAAATCTTGAAAATTTTATAGAACGATAAATTCATATTCCGTCTAATGATGATAGTCTGTTTTTTCTTTTTAGTGACAGCAAAGTTGAACACAATCAATGGCACACTTTCTGTTTCTCCCAAACCCAGCACAGCTTTATTTACGAATGTTTTGTCAACTCCGGCTTCCACGATTTTAACTAACAGTGTCAGAGCCACAAGCTCAAGTTATAATTCTTCTAGCATTTTACGAACTACAACTATGAACCCATCTTCTCTAAGAGTTTCCTCTTTCAATGCATCTACGACAAGAACTACTGGCTATCACACTTCCTTTATAACATCGGCGTGGAACATCTCAATCAATGGCAATTCTGCCAGAACCACAGTCAGTAGTATTCCATTGTCTTCGATTAGTGTTTCAATAGGTAGGCAAAGCACCACATTACTGTATAGCCTTTCATCAACCATCTCAAGCTACATGACAAGAATTACAAGCTTGGAAACATTTACTGCTGTCTCTCAAAGCTTTTTTTTGAAAACAACAGTCAAGCATTCGTTAAGCAGCACTGTAGCTTTACTGACGGTTACTAGGCTAGGTACTAGTCAGTTGCCAACATCGATTTCTTCCTCGTCAAAATACGGTGGCACATCAGGAAGTATCTACACAGTAGCGACATCTCCGTTATATCAAACCAGTTTGTCTAGTGTAGCTTCAAGGAGTGTGTCTTCATACCTTACGGCATCTGACGTTCGAAGCAACACTGCTGTTACTACGTTCAATGTAATAACTTCTGTTACGTCAACAACTATGTTTACCGTGGCGTCCACAGTATTGTCTAGTGTGCCTTTAAACCTTACGGCATCTGACGTTCGAAGCAACACTGCTGTTGCTACGTCCAATGTAATAACTTCTGTTACGTCAACAACTATGTTTGCCGTTGCGTCCACAGCATTGTCTAGTGTGCCTTCAAACCTTGCGGCATCTGACGTTCGAAGCAACACTGCTGTTACTACGTTCAATGTAATAACTTTTCCTACATCAGCAACTATGTTTGCCGTTGCGTCCACAGTATTGTCTAGTGTGCCTTCAAACCTTGCGGCATCTGACGCTCGAAGCAACACTGCTGTTACTACGTCCAATGTAATAACTTCTGTTACGTCAACAACTATGTTTGCCGTTGCGTCCGCAGCATTGTCTAGTGTGCCTTCAAACCTTGCGGCATCTGACGTTCGAAGCAACACTGCTGTTACTACGTTCAATGTAATAACTTTTCCTACATCAGCAACTATGTTTGCCGTTGCGTCCACAGTATTGTCTAGTGTGCCTTCAAACCTTGCGGCATCTGACGCTCGAAGCAACACTGCTGTTACTACGTCCAATGTAATAACTTCTGTTACGTCAACAACTATGTTTGCCGTTGCGTCCGCAGCATTGTCTAGTGTGCCTTCAAACCTTGCGGCATCTGACGTTCGAAGCAACACTGCTGTTACTACGTTCAATGTAATAACTTTTCCTACATCAGCAACTATGTTTGCCGTTGCGTCCACAGTATTGTCTGGTGTTCTTGCAAGCGCAAAATCCACTCCAAGGTCTAGCATCATTCCTATTAGTGATACTTACACAGCATTGACAAAGAAGGCCTCAAGCTTACAAACACCACATCTACCATCGTTGTCACAAGAGGCATCAGTGCCGATAGCAGATTCAGTCTCCCAGCTTTCCACTACGCGGCAATATCTTACACCCAGTTCCAGCTCGTCTTTCAGCTCAGAGATTGGTGAAGCATCTGCATCACCATCTGAAGTGTTGAGAACACTATATGGCCCTTCTACAAGCTTGTTTCCAGCATCTTTATCGATCAGCTTGTCTTTAGTGAACACCCAAGAAATTGCACCATCAGCAACAGTCAACTCATTCAAAACCCACAGTCCCAGCAGGTTGGCGGTAACCTCCAAATTCAGTCCGTCTGTTAGCCTGAGCTCAGTCTATTCATTTAAATCATCACTGCCGCCTTCTTCACCCAACAACAAAAATAATAAAAAGTCTAATCGTAAGTATTTTTAGCGACATATTTTGTTTATAAGTTCACAAAGTGTCCGCAGCTGATTTTCAACATGTCAGAATAATTTTGAAGTGTTTTTGTTGCTATGAATCGATTAACAACGAAAGATGATTGTTAAATCATCAATCATTACTCTAAGGGCTCTCCATCATACATAGAATTTACAATCATACATAGAATATTTGATATTCCCCAACAATACGTCAAGCTCCTTTCCTCCTTCTAAAATCAGAAAAGTATCTTAAGTAGAAGCATCAATATAAAGCCTAGCCAATCAACATCCTTTCATTGTGCAATATTTTTGCAGAATACCTTAAATTTTCCCTGGGTTTTTCTCGCAAATTGGCCTGTTTGATAAAATTCAACTCGCGAAGATGGGCTTTCAGGAAATTGTAATTTTATGCTTATCAAGAAGTTCCTAATCAACTTCCCATGGGGAATCATGATGAACCATGGTGAAAGTCACTTTGCCATTTGGCAACAGTGGGAACTAAAGGGTTAAATTAATCATACCCCGTAGGCCCCCGTATTCTCTGCGCTTGGCAATATGAAAGTTGCCAAGTCGTCTTACTCCCCAGTGTCTCTTTATTTAGGAACTCAAACCTCAGATCCTGGCGAATAGAGTCTCTCTCCTCCTCACCCCCTGCATCCTTATCATATGATGTCCAAATTTGTAGCTTCATAATGTAGACATTTGGACACGATCTGTGTTTGGATTAGCTTCAGACCTTCAGACCAAATTAAGAGCATATGGCCCCAACTGCCTATGTCAATATCAATTTTTCAGTAGCATAAGAACTTTTCTTTTTATAGCATTAACTGTTGAGGGACATCCCCTTCTTGTCTGTGTCACAGCTTTGTTTTAAAGATAGCTTGTTGTCCTTGTCTGAAAAATATCAAATAATTTTATTCCACTAAGTTTTAGTCTTACTCATTAAAAAGAACGACCACGCTTATGTTTTTAAAGACATACTCAAATTAACGTTTACCGATTCTCTTTTTCAGGAGAAACCATTATATTTGCGGCAGCAGGTGGAGGAGGAGGTCTTTTGCTTATTGTGATGATCTTCTGTGTCATTTTGGCTTGTCGGCGAACAAAGCGCACAAAGGGACAGCAGTCAGCGTAAGTAGCACGCGTTTCTTTTTCTTGGTCTTGCTTTATCAGTGGCGGATTTAAGGGGGGCACTAGGGGCAGCTGCCTCTCCCTCAAAGAGTTAAAGCAAGTCTGGCGCCCCTTTTTGGAAATTGTGCGCCCCTTTTGAAGAATGAGAATCAGGTGAATTTCTTGGTGACCGTCCTGTGAAATGGTACTCCCTAAGTTTAAATTCAGACCGGTTCCATGCCAATTTTAGGTTTTAAAACTGAATGAAAATATTGCAAAAAAGCAATCCTAACCCTTCGGTAATTATAAATCCGTTACATCTGGGGATGAAATCGTCATTATCAATCTAGATTTTAACGGGTCACCAATAAATACTGACATGGATCCTCTTATAAAGGTAGGGCTTCCCTTGTGAAGGCAATATCAATGTATTAGGCTTTTTTATATAACGTTTATGAAATCATTTACTGTTGAAGAAACAAAAGAGTGTTTGCAAAAATGCATAATTGCTATGGTCCGAGTTTCTCTGTAAATTCATTTCAGGCCAAGCAAACTGTAGTCTCAACTTAAAGTAGTAAAGTGTGTTCAATTCGATAGTATCGTGAAAGAGTGTAAAGAACGTCCTACTTATAGAGATACTAAACATCATTCTACATCTACGTAGGTGAGCATTCATGTTGTCTTTAATAAATCATTGGTAGTTTTTTTGGGGACGATAAAGAGGTGATTGAAGAGGGGTCAGAATAAGGCTAGAATGTAACCTAGTTTCATATACATAACACAAATGTAACCCAGGGATCATATGAAAAATAGATATAATTTCTAATCAAGCTGACAATATCGTGCAAAATGTGACAAAATGCAACGCTGACAGAAGATGCATATGGTCTGAAAGTGAGCAGAGAGGCTCTAATATGCCGAGACCCTGAACAGGGGGTTTAGATCATTGCGCTATTGTTGTACATTCCTTTGATTCCACGTGAAAGCACTAAAAATTTTTGCTGTTTCATTTTTTTTCAAATTTCTAGAAAAAGTGCTGAAGAAGAGGAAAAATTTGAAGGAGATATTGACTTTAAGAGCAAATGGTCTACCATGAGACAAAATGATAACTTCGCAAAACGCAAGCGAGAAACTTTGATGAATTTGGTGCTGTATGGGGAAACAAATGATGCCTTTGTCTCAGAGGAGACCGCAGATACAGCAATAGTTAATATTTCTCGTAACAGTGTACATGACGAAAGCGAGGTCGACGACAACGATAACGAGGAGATGATGCCCAGGTGCGGGACGTTTTCTGGCAGAGCTGGGCGTGTCAAAAACGGAAACCAATCCCTTATTGAAATTGTAAACGAGCGAAAAAAGATACGTAAGTCAATTTCAGAACACGTAGATGAAAACAATGAAGACAAGTTGGTAATTGAACGTGTTGGTGCCCAAACATCAGATTCTAAGGAGAATCGCGAATCTCTAAGCTCATTTGGAGGAAAAAAAGATCAGTCTTTAAAATCATCCGGCGACAAAGATTCCAGGGAATCAAGAACATCTCTGACTTCTTTTGGAGCTGGACAAAATACGTTTCAAGAAGAAAAATTGTTGTCAAACGCTTCTGAAAAAAGCACGGATCACGTTGATTGTAAGCCAGAAAGCGATGAAGATGCTAGAACTGAAGAAACTAAACTTGATAAAGAATCGCCTCTGGAGGAAATTGAACAGGCAGAAAGCACCGAAAATACAGCCAATGCCAATGAAATTATTTGTGCATATTCCTGTTAGAGGTAATTGCACCTTATAATCGCACAGTCTTGTTGTAAGTATGGTACTTTGAGATTTACCAAGGACTTCTCGTCGTTTAGAGTCATGTTCAGCTTTTGAAGAATCTATTAACGATTTCCCCATATTTTGACCCATCAAACGCCTGAGCAACCATTTAATGATGATATCTGGTGGTCACCTTCACTAGACAGGACGTCCAAAAATGATGAAGGTCACGAGCTGCAAGTTACAGATACCAGGTCGAACACATACATTTCTCATGGGTTTCAGGTTTAGTTTGCGTTCAGTAAAACCTTTATTTCATATCCGTAATGGTTGATGTTATCTAAGATGACATCGGTACTATGTAATACTAGTTTGGTTTCGATACCTTAATTCGTTGTAGCTTGGTAGACCTATTTCATCAAATATATTACAAAGTTTGATTTATTTATAGAAAAATAATAAGAAACAGGAATAAATTCATGTCATCGACAGGTAAGCTGGTGAAGCTTTGTACCTAAGGTAAAGTTATGCCTAAGGCTATAACTTAAGGTAAAGGCAAACATTTTTCTGTTTTCCTTTTTATTTACTATTTGTCCTGAATTTTTTTAATCTTTTCTGCCCAGAAATGTGACGATAAAAAACGTCTTTACGAACTTGGCAAACGGTAACAATTCAAGTATTGGAGCAGCATAGATTGAAGCAGCGAGAGTAAATGTATGAGGTAAAGAGCTTAAAAAGTTTAAACTATGTATTTCCTAGCATTTCATCGTATGGTGAATTAAAAGTCCATTATCTTGAAGGTTTGGAACTGTGTTTATTTGAATCGCTTATGTAGTTATAGGAAATTTCGTGTTTGCGGGTAGTCAGATAATTCTCCTAAATAAACTTAAAGAGTTAACTAGACGAAAGTGAATGTTATTAAAGAAACCAGCAATTAAAAAGTTTATGTCATTGATATGGTAGTTGTCGTAGGCAATTGCGAATAAATATGCATGGTGTCTTCTTTTGCAATGGTAGATGACGCGGTGAAGTAAACAGATGTAGATAGCATAAGTATGGCGAAAACCAATTAAGATTCAGCAAATTCATTAGCTAGTGGAAGGAAAGGAAAAAGATTAGGAAAAAGAAAAGAAAGGCAGGAGAAATAATTAAAAGAGCTTATGAGGAAGAGATCGGTCGAAAATGGATTTCTGTTTAGCAATGTTTATCATAGAAAAGCATAGAATAATGCGAGTTGTTTAAAGTTAGACGGCTTAAGGCTTTATCAACGAATCCCTTTTAGGTTAGAGAACGTGCTCAGCAAAACCCCCTTTCAATATCACGAGGGGGATCTGTCACCTCATAATTTTTTCTGGATTTTTTAAGGGGATAAGATACTTCATTACTGCCTTTCTGGTCCGTTTTGTTTTGTTGACATAGAATTACGTATAATCATAATGATGACCAAAGGTTGAAAAGTGGGGGGGCCAAGGGAAAATTTAACACCCATAACAAAAGATTTTGAAAAAACTCTATTGTTTGGCAAAAAAGTGGGGGGGCCAAGGCCCCCCGGTTCCCCCCTTCGTCGAAGGCCCTGATAACGTATTCTGATAGAAGTCGTTTTCAGGACTAAGTTTGTAGTACTTTGAACTCTTACCTGACACTGAAACTCTATAGCTAAGCTCGATATACTTTATAATTAAAAGACCTTTACTTCATGTTGGTCAGTTCATTTTTCCCGATTTTGATATTTTCATATTAGTGATTGCTCGTAATTAAAGTGTAATTAAGAAACAGGTTGACAAGGTAACTTTAATAATATATAGATGTAAAATGCACAAAAAAGATTGTTTAAAATGTTTGTAATTTTTTATGTGAAATTTATCTGTACATTCGAGAAAGTGATCTGTAGGTGCATTAGTACTATAAACTTAAACTGTTGTCATTGTATTTTTTCTATTGTTGGTGCTTACTATTGTGTCCATACCAATTAAGGGTAACGTTAAGCAACATCAGGGATGATGGCACAAGATCGTCAATTGCAGCAAAATTAACAGAAAATTTTAACTGCAAGAAGCAACTTCGTGATTAAATGTTTGAAAAGGTTTATGTTTCGACTGATTTTGTTTCAAAGTAAAGGGATTATGACCCCTTGAAAGCCATAGTTGGTAATTCTGACCATTGGAACCTTAAGAGGGTTTGTAAAACGTTTTTAGTTTGTGGCAAATCGTCTAGTATCAAACATTTTGTATAAAAATTGAGTCAGGGACAGTAAGATTTTTAAATACTTAAAGGGCTAAGAGCCTTTTAGATCGAACTTGGAAGTAGTCTCTTTGGATTGAATGAGCAGCTATTGTATGACAATGTGTAGTTTATTTACCCCCAGCTTCTTTTGCCCCACAACACCCTTGTCAATGACAAAGAAGGACAGTGGTTATAAGCAACTTTTTCCTTCATAACCCATACATTTGTTATTTTTTTAAGATGTTAATTTTTTTTGCAGCTTTATTGCGAAAATTTTCAGCATGGGAGCCAAATCTAAACCCTTGTTTTTCTATCTTTATAATGATGTTCAAATTGACATCCATTTTTGAATATTTCTAAAGCATCTAAGACAAATATTTGATTGCTCTGAATATTTCCCTTAGTTTCTAAGATAAGATCCCTAAGGAGCTTTAAATTTTTGAATATTTTTATCACTGCAAACAATCAAGAATTAGAAAGCTGGTTCCATTCATTCAGAGTTACAAATCACATGAATTGTTTCCTACAAAAGTGGCTATCGAGTGATTCATTGTGTAATTCTGAGTGTCTCGTCTTCCTTCCTGATTGAATTTCCACTTTTTCATGTATGAAATTTCTTTCTAGTCTTCTTTCTGTTTTTCAACTTGATTTTAGCTCCAGTTAAGAATCAAAGACACCAATACAGAATTCTAATGTACTATGTGCAATTTTCATGTGTAGTTGAATTAAAAAGTATTAAGGAACCATAAGTACTATAATTTGATAAAAAGAGGTCCAAAAACAAGGCCACGAGCTAGGTCTCTTATAAAATGAATCCTGGAAAAGACCAATTTGGATTATTTGTGATTAGAATAATGCAGAAAGTTAAGGAAATGCAGTGAAAGAAGAATGGAGAATGCAGAGAAAGATAATTAGAAAAATGGTCTAGAATTAAAAGAATAGAGAATCACCGAAAGTTTCCGATAATTTTGGAGCTTAAGGGGTGCTATATTATAGCCTCCTATTTCTAAAGCAACTGTGCCTCTATGTAGAGACCAAAATGTACCTCTGGCTTTAGCAAAAAGTAGGTTTGTAAATTTTCTACATACCGTTATATTTTGATAGCTAGAGCTACGTTAAATTCTTTCTTTTCGAGCTTCCACGGCAAGCTTTTTGTGTCCCCGACTGCTTTACTCTCGCCTCGTTCTGTATTCCGGAGGCTGTTCCGCTTTTTATACCAGGCAAATTCGTGACAACTTCGATAAATTTTGTTGACAGTCGTGGAATAAGGCAAAATATGGCTGGTCCAATAATGGATGCATCAGTCTTAACATACGAGGGTATTTCAATTGTACCTACTGAAAGTTATCTTGACTTCACAGAGCCTGCCTGGGTTTTGGGAAAACACTTCTTGCTTGAAGATGGTACCTAATCTAGCGTCTATTTATGTTGTTGTTATTACAACGTTGTGTTTTGATGTTGGTCTAATTGAATTATCTTGGCCTAGAGTTTGTCGTTCCTGTCTAGATTTGATACCAACTCATATAACTAAACTACTAATTTGATTGTGACTAAACAGACAATTTGATTTTGAAATGATAAAGTTCAAGGTCTCAAGGTTTTCACTGATGATGTAAGGTTGCTCAAATAACAAGTAACTTTGGACAGTCCACTGTCGTTCAGTAAATAGGCCTATATCTGTATGAAATCATTCTTGCGTTTATGTTTGGAGAAAAATGTGTCGACCAATGTGTTTATTTGACTTACATATTTACTGGTTTATTTCGGTTTAAATCTTACAATGAACAGTGAAACTTCAAGGCCTCGGTGCAGATCATAGTGTAGCACTGACACATTTTTAAAATATCAATTAGTCTGAAAAAATATTTTTCTTGTGATATTAGATCACTTTTGGCTACACAACACATGTTTAAAAAACTATACAATATTGAAATTTTTTGCCACATTATCTGAAATTTATATTGCTTATTAGATTTGGATCAGTTTAATGAAGAAGTTCGCTCACTACTATGGTTTACCTACCGCAAGAACTTCAAGCCTATTGGTATGATTTTAAGGAAAAATTATGTAGCCAAGTAATCTTTCATCAATCCATCCACCCATCTAAAAATCCATACATTCACTCATTCATTCGTACATTCATTCATTCATTCATTTGTTCATTCCTTCATTAATTTAAACATTCATTCTAAAACTCCATTTCCCACATAACTTTTGATTTCATACCTGAATGTATCAAGTATTTTGTTATAATTTTTGGAATTAATCCCATGCAGTCATCTTTGCTTTATGTCATTTTGCTTAAAGTCACATACTGGTTAGAGTCACATACTGGTTAGAGTCACATACTGGTTAGAGTCACATACTGGTTAGAGTCACTTACTGGTTAGAGTTTCATACTAGTTAGAGTCACTTAATTTAGACCCAAATATACATAACTATTCAATTTAGCTTTGTTTACAGTAACCTTATGTTTGCTGTATTTGATATAGTTCTATGCAGGGGCTGCACCACAAGGTGCACTTTTTTTAAGATTGACTTTCTAATTTTTCCTAAACTGGACTAAAAACTTAAGGGGGGGGGGGGGGGGTTGTTAGTTTTCTTCTCTGAGATTGAAACTTTTTTTCATTTTGATGGCCAGTTACGGTTCTTTTTTCAGATTTTAGCTGAGGTTTTTGGCAATAATCAACTTTGAAACTTGTACCCAAACTGTGAACCTTTGCCTACGAAACTTAACTCTTCTATTGAGGGTTTCAAAATATGTCAAACTTGGTTATCAATAATGATCAATATTATCAGTAATGATCAATGGTTATGAATAGTGATTTCTCGTATGGTGTTGCACCCGTTTCTCATCCAGACCCCTTTATCAGCTCCACACCTTCATTGTCCACCCCACTATTTTGGGGCTGGTGCTGCCCCTGGTTCTATGCTACTACAGCATTGTGATTTTATTCATTCTAATTAGAATAAAGTTTCATTCAAATTGCTAGTTTTTGGTAATAGCTAATGGGTTGTTACAGGAATCAGAAATATAATCAAAAACATAGGAAATATAAGTAAGTTGACTTAACCACACCTCAACGCATTTGAAAATTCATTCCACCGAAATGTTTATGCATACTTTGGGTGCTTAGTATTTGAACTACATTAGCACTTGAAACATTTTCTGGGCAGTTAAAGTGTTTTTAAAAGGTATGGGACAACATTCTGTGATCATCAGGCAATAACATTTTTGTGGCCTTCATGATGTACATAAAAATTATAAATGGAGCACACTTATAAAGAGGATTTAGTCTTTCTTGGAGTGCATTACAAATCCTTGTAATCATTCATTTTCATTTGATATTACCTTCAACAAAAGAACCTTATAACAGAAACAATTTTTTTCACTATCAGAGTGATCGCTCGCACAGGAGAAGTAAATGAAGGGCGATGGGCCACTCGCGTGTGCTATTTCTAACGAAAAGGCCTGAGGAATTAATGTTTAATCATTTTATTTTCTTTATGGCCAAGTTATAATTTGTTGTTAATCTTGATTGTATTGATTGTGTTCAAGGTGGTACAGGCCCAACGTCAGATGCAGGGTGGGGTTGCATGCTAAGGTGTGGCCAAATGATGCTGGCACAAGCCATGACTCTAAGGCATCTTGGAAGAAGTATGTCCATTATCATCTTTGTTTCTCTATGGCTCTAGAATATCAGTTTATGCAGAGTAAATTTCTAGTTACCATCTCAAGTCAGAATGAAATTTTATGATTCAGTTCATTTTTACCTTGAATACCTAAATTGCAGCCAGTGAGGCAGACTAGACATTTTGTTATACTAGACTAGATAAATTTGAAAATTGATTATTAGATCAATTTGTAATGCTCATATTGAACATGGACAAGCAGAAGTCAGCTAAATTAATAATTGTTAACACAGCTCTTACCCCTCAATCCAAACCCAACGACAACAACCAAATAATACAGAATGCCATATCTCCTCATCAAGGAACAGGGTGCATCATTGAGAGTTTTCAAGTTTTTTAAAAGTCATAATTCTTAGCAACTTTGTTGCTATATAGAAATTCAGAGTTGCAAGGGTCAGATGGCTACACATGCACAGGTCCCCCTGAATGCAAAAAGTGTAAAAAAATGCCTGTTTTTGAAAAAAATCTATCGTGTGTTCTAAGTGTCACTGGAAAAAATTCACTGAAGTTTCCCTACTTTTTTGCTAGATACTGACAATTTGATTTGAAATGGATAGAGATTGAAACTTTCTTTTGAAGTAAATGCAGCCTTAAAATTGGATAATTCCTTTCAGTTCTCCACATTATATTTTCAGTTCAACTTTTAAGTTTTTAGTTCTTTCATATAAGATTTACGCATACAAAAAACTTCAAAACCCTGAATTGAGCACTTGCCCTTTAGCAAAGATTGTTCTTGCTATGTGCCCCATCTCTACCCTCCCTTATCCTCTCCATCTCTAACCTTCCTTACCCTTCCCTTCCTACCTTCCCTCCCCCTTCCCCTCCCCCTTCCTCTCCCCTCCTTCCCCTCCCTCCCTGTCCTTCCATCCACTTCCATCCACTTCCCCTATTCCTCCCTCTTCCTCTTGTAGGCTGTTGCTCTACCAAAGCACTACCTGTCACTACCAACTAGTCCCTTCCTCGCCAAGTGGGCAAGGGAGCCGTCATAGCACCCATTTCAAAGTGCACTGGACCTTCCTGTAACTATTCAAATCAATTTTTCGCTATTTTGTAGAATGGAAATGGAAACCAAAAATGACAGATTCAACCTATATGATGGTGAGTTGCAAAAATATGTTCTTGGTATTCTCATTAGTTTCTTTCCAAAATATTTTTTTACATTCCAATAAAAATTTACAATACAAATTTACTGGTTACACTTCCTAAAAAATACTTAATGACACTACAAGGATTCCAATAAAAATTTACAATACAAATTTACTGGTTACACTTCCTAAAAAATACTTAATGACACTACAAGGACGATGCCACTTGGTGCAAAATACTACGACTATTCCGTGGTTTCATGAAAAACTAAGTCAAAATACATATGAATTACCAAAGGAAAAAAACAAAGAACACTAAACTCTCTCTCGAATTAGATATCAGGCAAAAAATGTTAGCGAATAACAGCAGACAAGATGTTTGCTGCAGTTTAAGTAAGTATTTCCAAAATTTTATTCTATTGATTTAGTGAGCTTTACTTAGAAACACCAGGATTCACAAAAATCATTCTAAAACATTAAAAACTGTCTATTTTATTCTCAATTCTATGATATCTACTTGTCTATAGATATTGAAATCATTCCTGGAGAAGAAAGACAGCTTGTATTCCATTCACCAGATTGGTGAGTGTTATTCAATCTAGTGTTCAAAAGGCAGAGTTTAAGTATGTACACCCATAGGGTGCCATCTATGTTATATTTTTAATTTTATTTCACCAAGAATTACTTTACAATTGATTTTGGCCTCTTTAAATTGTCTAACATGGAAATTGTTATTGCACTCATCAAGCATTAGATATTTGAAAAAATTTGATGTTATATATCAAAGAAATTAACCTTGACATCATTTTTTGAATCCTAACTCAACATTTTTCATCAGGGACAGACTTACAGGTGATGAGGATGTAACACCCCTCCCAATTTTTTTATGTCATTCAGTGAGGGTATTTTTTTACGTCATTACGTCATTCAAAGATTTTGGGTAAACACACCAAAATTTTGTTTTATTTATCTTCTTAACTTTTTAATCTTTAGTTAAAATTAACTACCACTTTTTACGAGCCTTAATGTGTGCTACCAAGTCATTATCTAACACCAAGTCATAAAATCCGTCCCTGTTTGTCATCTGAAAGTTTATGATACCTGAAATTTTTTTCATTTCATTTTATTTTAAAATTCTACTACATACAAAACTACTCAATATGCAACAATTAACAAAGATTATATCACAAGATTACAAAAGATGAAAAGCCGAAAATTGCTTTAGAAAATACAGAATATTGATAAAAATTTGTATGGTGACATGCTTGCTAAAAGCTATAACCTCCAAAGCCTATTGGAAAATGGAAGATATCTTTAGCTCTCTTGGACAAAGGAAATGAATTAACATGCAGGTACATTTCAACGTGCAATCTGTTCTTAAGGGCCAGGCTTCAAAGAAATGGGAAAATAGAAATTCTTCCTTTTAGTTGGAATGCCCCCAGAGTACTAAGTAGCGAATGAAATGCTCACCGTCTGCAATAATTTTAAAGTCAGAGGCTTGTTATTTCAATGCAAAAACTGAGCGGTTTCAATTCACAGTAGCATGATATAGATTGATTTCTTTGGTTCACTGAAGTTTGGATCTGAATGCTTAGATCCATTTTTTCAGATTCTGTTGTCATAGCTTAGCATTGGATTCACTTAGGATTGGTATTTTGTTTGCGTGGAGTTGGCTTGCGTAATACCGCTTGCACGTTTGCTGATGAAAACGCTATGAAATCTCTGTATCTGTGAAAACCTTATCAAGAAGAAATCAAATAAAGGGGACCAAGTAACCGGAAATCAAACACAAAATTACCAAATCCAGTATTGAAACGTCTAAAAAATTTCCCAATCGGATATAAAAGGTTTAAGTTATAGGAGGAAAGCCTAAAAAAAGTTCTGTCCTGGTCATGAATGGGAAGAATTCTCTGAAAGGTATAAATTTATCTAGGAAACTGAAAGAAATATAGAATGTGGTTAGCTGAAAGGAAGTTATTTTAGAAAAGCGATGAATGTGTTGAAAGTAATTCAAGATTCCCAAGTTCTTTATTACGAGGAAAAATATTGCGCTGCAAATCCCTGCTTTTGTAAGCAGTCGTGATCTAGACCCGATTGTTAGAATTACAAAGCACGTGTAATATTGTTTGAATGTTCCTGCAAATATTTGTATTCCAATAAAAAAAAACAGGAGTATCATCTAGCTTTTGTGATTTGGTTTATTTGATGAATTTGAAATATACCTCTAGCACACACCCATCCCCTAGAAGCACATGTGGCAAAAAACTGTTTTTTCATTTAACGTCCTTATCCTCAAGTCAAACATGTGACATTAGTGCAGTTATAAAGTTTATCAAATAAAACCTTTTTGGATTCGAGGTAACGTTCTCTGTTAAAGGTAACAATGGTTGATTCTAGGTTGTATCATTATCACATTAATATTATTGTTTTCAAATAAACTGGCTTTCATGACGATCAAGTTGAATATTTGCCTTTAGAATACTCCTGAAAGGTACTATGAATTGATATTCCAGTCCATCTTTGAAGCATCTGTAAGTAAATGACCTCAAAGAGCACATCAAGAGGTTGCGAAGAGGGTTTTTATGTAAAAGTCGATGTATTGATTTGTATTGCAGCTCAGATGGGTGTAAGCGAAGGCAAACAAATCGGACAATGGTTTGGCCCAAATACAGTCTCGCAAGTTATAAAGTGAGTTGACTCTGCACCATAATCATTCTTTGTTGAAGTGAATGGTGACCCAGGCTGCTCACCAGGCCATGTCCCCCTGCCCATGTGTTTAAGTCCCCTTTGATGTTTGCACTTTAATGCGAGGAACAATTCACTCTATAAAAACCTCATAACCTTTGTTAGAAAACCTACTGTTTTATCTGGAATGTCCTATAAATCCTATCATTTTCGTCTAAATATTTGCAAGAGAGACTTCCCCTCGCTTCTATGTTGTGTGAAAATAGAGGCTTCTCTTGGACAAGAGATTGCCACAGAAGATTTAAGGAACTACTTTGTAACAGTCTTTTAGTGGTACAAAACTTACAAAAAGCCTTGAAAAAAGCAAACTTTTGCGTATACTGTTGTGGTTCGAAATAGGCCAATCAGAAACACGAGCACATGAATTTGCCCAATCAGTGCCGCTTGTTCTGACGTTTTATACTCTGAAGAGTGTCAGACGAAAAGCTTCAGTATTCTCAAATGTTTGCTTTTCTCAAAGAACTACTTTGTCCGAGAAGCCGCGTCGCGAAACCTACCAGACTTAATTCTTTTTCATGTTTGTGCTCCTTATTATTCTAGTGGATTTCATTCTTGAGAACCTTCAGCTGATTGTGTGGAAACCCATTCATTTAATGATAGATATGTGCTTCCAAGTTACAAAAATCTTAACCAATTTCCAATCTATAGCAAATGGATTTATTATTAAATTTTATGGAAAATTTTAAAGAAAATGTTCACTTTGCAGAAAAATTGCTGGATTTTAAATACCCACTTTGTCAATCTTTGGACTACACCTTGTACTATTGAGCACTTTATATCGTTTGTGAACCGTCAAGAATCTTTGTGATTGATATATGTTTTCAAAATCAAATTTAGTAGAAGCGAAATATGAGTGTTTTGAGATTTCATAGACGATGCTAAACATCTTTACTTCTTGAATAACGATGATTGAATTTGATATTGTCTCTCATCACACCCATTCCTTGCCTAAAAATAAATTATGACTGCACGTGGGTCGAAATGTAGTTTAGACCTGTGTCTTCTTTGTAGACAATTTTTATATTTTAGAAAAATAGCTACTATGTTTATATATCAGCTTTTTTTTTCTTTGTTTACAGAAAGCTTATAATGTTTGATGATTGGAGTAATTTGGCAGTTCACGTTGCAATGGATAATACACTTGTAATCGAGGACATAAGTAAGTTTAGTTTTATGAGACGTACATTTTTTCACTTTCAAGGAAAACACAAAGCGTTTTAATTTTTCCGTACAATTTTACCAAAGTTTTCTGGAGATGTTTCCAACGCCTTTTTCTTTAAAGGAATGAAATGAAAACTGGATTTTGTATTTTGGTATATTGTAACTGATCAATAGCTGTCAATCATAGCATATAGAGGAATGTATGGCCAAACGCAGTGACCAAAAAACATTGACATGCATGTGTAATACTGTCATTTTGCGTACTCTTCTCAAGAACTTTTCTCTTTCGGTCATGATAAGCAACTTTCATTAATTTTGTATCTTTGGCAATATTTGATCAAATTCCTGCTACCTTTCCACGATCTTGACTGCTGAAGCTCAGGCCATTGCCTACCGCTGTGAAAGAGACGCACTGTACTATCTGATTTGTAATCTACAAGCTTTGAGATTAATTACCCCTGTCTTTGCATATCTTAGTTTAAGGTTTATAATAGTTTTATATCAACAGTGTTAATTTTAATTATTGCAGAAAAGTTATGCAAATCATCCTACAGTTCGTGGGAGTGCTATGGCGCCTGCACATCGGCAAAGGAAGGTGGATCGACTGCTGGTGCCGTGATCCCAAACGAGCAATGCTCTTGCGGCAAGTCGGTGATTGACAGATCAGGGAATCCCCGTAGGTCTGTTAACAAAATGGGACCATACAAAAGGACTCAATCATTTGGACTAAACACATCTTCTTGGCGTCCATTGATATTATTTATACCATTGAGACTTGGACTGAGCGAGACAAATTCAGCTTATTATTCTGCACTAAAGGTAGTTATTATTCATTTGTGTTTTCCCTTTTTCATTTGCTAAATAGGTATCTGGAATCTCTTTGGCTTGTTTTGCTGTTCCATGCACTTACATCTGACCTTGAAAACTAACCTGCATTATTATATTTTCGTTTTTTCCTGTCGACAGCAATGTTATACGATTTAAGATTAGCGGGGTTGGCAGGTCTTAAAGCTATTGAAGCCAAATCGGTTGTGAAAAGAATTAGATATAGGCAAACAAACGATTTGAATCTATCTAGTTGGAAACGAGGCTTCATAAGTTTTGGAAACGAGTCAGGGATCAGCACCGATTTACAATATCGATTTACAATGTGTTCAATTTTTATGCTTGTTACTACCGTAATTGTTATATGCACTGGGTGGGTGGTAGATATCTTACATTAGATTGCTTCGTATTGTTTTGAATTTTCAAAAGTATTATACAAAATATTATCAAGCCCTGGTTGTGAACAAATTTTAATTTCAAAATGTAAAATGCTACAGCGGTAGCCAAATGCAAGGTCTAAGACAAAAAATTATTGAATTCAAAAGCCCCTGAAATCGGGCTTAGAAAATTCCAGTTTAGTAAACTTGAACTTGCCGCAATGGGGTTTCCATGAGGTTTGCCACGAAACTTTACTTCAAGTAACTTTGATTTACAATTTAGTATTTTCTCAAGCATTTTTCTATAACTACCTCTCTTGCAGGCATGTTTAACGATTAAAGAATCATTGGGTTTCATTGGCGGAAAGCCGAATCACGCTTATTATTTCATTGGCTTCAATGGTAAAGTCATAATTTTATATGCCTCCATTTAATATAAATATGTAAGGTAATTGCTACTTTGTCATAAGGCACCCCTTCTATATCTGCAGGTTGCTCTAATCAGGACTCCATTTCATTTTATTTTTCAAATTTAGGCTAGCCCTTCAGCAATGCTGATTTTTAAATGCCTCTCAATGACGAAAACCTACAAATATTATAGAAAAATAAATTAACCTCGTTACAATTCAATGTGAACATAATATCATAAAACCGTTCTATGATCTACGATAAGTATCTTACAAAATGAATATATCTACGATTGAAAGACCATATAGCAAAAACCTCTACAGTTGAGCAAGATATTGTTTAAAGCTGTTCAGGAAAGATACCTGGTTACACGCAGGTGAGAGATAAGGTTGTCAGTAAAAAGGGGGTCAATTTACCCTGCAATTTGACAAAAGTATGCTTCATGTTATGCAAAGTATTAAGTACATTTTAATACAAGTTTATTTTCGTTTAGCTCATCGGTTGATTTATTTGGATCCACACACAACACAGCCAACCATAAGTCCTGCAAAATACAGTGCGATTCCTGACGAGGTAGATGGTTTTTTTTGTTCTTCTATGCAATTTAAGTTCATTGACATTTCATACACTAGATGTCTTGATCTTGCAATTGAGATGACTAGAATGGCTTTCCACTTGGATTGATTTAAGAAGAAAAAGATGTAAGAGTGCAAAGAATATACTATGTGTAAATAAGCTGGGTTTTAGTAATAAACAGGAGGCTTTGAAACTAAGAGTTGCTTTGAATCATAATTGTCTCTCAACGTGTTTAATGTCTTGTAAATTATTTAGATGAAAAGGATTTATCTTTGCCCATGATTTATCTCTTTCATATAAAGCATATCTTGAAGATACCTAGTATTTTATGCAGTAAACATGGGAAGGAGCACTTGCTTTGATGGAACTGGTCGGTCAAAATGACAACCGGGCCAACGGGGATTTTCTTACAAATTTTCAAATGCGACATTTCTTCTCTTCCAGTCCTATCATTGTGTCTACCCTTGTTTCATGAACTTTGCAGAATTGGATCCTTCCATTGCACTGGTAATATTTATTTCTTATTAACTGTCAGATGTTTTAAGTTTCATTCAACAATCAGTTTTCAGAGACTGCATTGCTTCTTTTAGTAAACGAGGGACATGGAAAACACTGAAAACATTTAGCTGTTGATATTAAACGTCTACATGTTGTTGAAGACTAGCTAATAAAACACCACTCAATAGATGTTAGAACCTATGAGTCTTATTTTTAATAAGCCAATTTGATATTTCCTTTCTTGTAAATGGTCCATTTTAAAGTTCATTCGTTTATTTCAATAGTTTTAACAATTGCGTGATGAAAGCATTAAGCGTGAAACTTAGAATAGTATCTTGAAACAGTCCTGTTCATTACACCAAAAGCGCGTAAAAGTGAATTCGTATGGAATAGAAATTGGCTTCATTGAAACCTTTTTGTTTCTTATTCTGACTCTTGTATCTGCATTCTGTCGCCTTTCACATGCCATGCTGTTAATTTTTAGGGATTTTATTGTCACACTGAAGCTGAATTCGACGATCTCTGTGATGCAATTACCCAGGTATAGTGTTGTTTAGCCATCTTCTCTTTTCCATATATTTTCTCTTTGAATTCCAATATTCAATCCGCATTCTTGGCTAGTCTACTGATTCACTATCCTGTGAAACAGCGAGGAATAAATTCTGTGTATTTTCTTCATTTTAATTTTTGTTTTCTTCCAACTCTGCAGCTTATAATCGATGGACAGAAACGACCAATGTTCGAAATATCCATCAAGAGGCCGGCACACTGGCCTCCTTTCGAGCTGCCAAAAAGACCATGCGATGATCTGGATTGTGCACGTGCAGGTTTGACACGCATTTTTTCTGTTCTGTGATTGACAAAAAAGGGTCAGTTTAAGCGGGTTTATAGTGTGGTCAGTTTACAAGCCCAGTGACACACATAAACTGGGCTTGCTTTCAAGAACAAGGTGTAATAGAATTAGGTAACTAAGGCATTATTTGCTAGCTGAAGGAAGCTTTCTGGGAAATTTGAGTTCTATTCATCGTCACATTTTTCATATTATCATCACCATGTTGTTTGAACCATTAAAAATATAGTAGCACACACATGTGACAGAATTTAATCCTTCTACACCAAGCTGGCAACAACTGTTTGTTGAAGAAAATATTTCGTTCTATTGTCAAGTGAATTGCAATAAAATAATTTATAACTTTGTCAAGTTATAACCATTTATCAAAGTCAGATTAATTTTTAAATATTTTGAAATATATGTATATTTAAAATATGCAAATATTTTTAAGGATGATTCTGTCAAGTTAGGATACTGTTATTTTCAGGACAAGGATGGTATTTGAATGTTGCAGCTATATCTGTTTAGATGTTTATGTGCAGAATATACTTCACTGGACATTTCTGTTTATAAACTTAAAACATTTCCTGCCCATTTTTTTTTAATTCAGATTTCACAGAACTGACCTTCGATTACGGAGAAGATGATCGAACGTTTGACACTGATGGTGAATATGAAATAATTTGAGAAAATAAGATCAAAGAATTTCCTTACTTGAGTATTGTACTTTTGCATTATTGTAACGATATACATTTGAAGTCATTTTCAATGTTCGTGTATTATTGAATTTTGAAGTTAACTTAAAATATGATAACGTTTTTACTAGTATTGTATTAATAAAGAATTCACGATAAAACAAAGAAGAGCTCTGTAATTTGGAGTAACATTTGACGACAAAAACATAATCAATGCCATATTTAGTAACAGTATGGCTTGTTATTGTTGTCATTAAACAGGAATAGAAAACTCTTCGAAGTCTGTAGCATTGTTATGGTATTTTATTATGGTATTTAAAACCTAAAAGCTTTTTAGTCTTTGCTTTCGATTTTAATGTAACCGGTGGGCCATGAAATATGACAACACAGTAACAATCATTCAGCGATGACGTAATTTCGTTTCAATTATGTTGTTTAATACAAGAGAAAGAGATAAAGAGTGATAGTGAGAGTGAAACGAGGTTTTCAAGTTGATCTTGTATGTTAAAGCAAGAAAAATTAATTGCATCATCGCGGGGTGGGGAAGCTACCGCATCCTCTGGTCAAACTACTGGAAAAACTACAAAGTTATTAATTATGAGAAATACCACATTGTTAATACTCAGTAACTACTTAATTTAATTATATGATTTTTTTGTATAATCTCAAATTATAATGTAACGATTGTTTATACTGTTAAAAGCTTTCTTGCAATGTTCATTTAGTTGTTGAATAATGTTTGCTTGAGTTGCTTGTTGTTTACAAGATTACCACAAGTCAACGTTTTCGAAAACATTTTTTTTGGTTAAATTTGTCGTGTAAGCAGATAAATTCTTAACCGCAAGTCCAAAGCGTTGTCTTGACATAGAGGTCGTTTTTTTCATTTGCATAACCTCTAAAGACGCATTCATTATGTTCTGATATTTCCTCTCTCCGCATTTTATCTGACAATTATAACGAATCGGAAATAACCGCCCCATGCTTTAATGCAAGCTTTGTTTCAACAGGCCTGCTTCACGATAAATTTTCTATTTGTAAACATAAAATTTAATCAGTTCTGTAAATTTATAGAGTTCTGTAAATTTACATCAGTTTGGCGAATGGGCTACTTTAAAAAATGGTTGTAGCCACACGAAAGCGCAATTCTCTCACAGAATCGTTGAAAACCCGGGATGTAGTGCTATTACAATAACAAGGGTGCAAAAACAACATCAAAATTTTCAGCAATAACAATGGGGGATCAGCCCCCTGAGTTCCCGACGACTACATCCTGTTGATAATTTAAACTCAAGGCGATGAACTAGAAAACTGTATGGAACTAACTGCTGAAAAACATCACCAAAATGTTAGTGAAACCTCTGCTTGGATCAAAAGAAAGCTGAGTTTTTGCTTACTTAGAACTGCAGTAATTTGTATAAGAGGTTCTAGGTCCCGACAACATGTTGTCCTTATTGGTGAATTGGGTGACATTGACACTAGAAACAATTTATCTAACATCATTAATTAAAAACATTATGTTTGTTATTTGAATGTATGTTCATTTAATTTTGTAAACCGGCAGCTTATCGATATATAAACAGTGATGAATTCATCAAGTATATATAGTAGTTTGATTATACCACTAAAAAAACTGTATGGAGCACTGACCATCTGGAGCCTCGTGTTTATAAAAATTAAAAAGAGGTTATATGCTAATGTCCAAAGCTTGAAGTAATGGCGGCTGTCTGATATGGGTTTTAACTTGTAAATAGAGTTGTAAACAACGAAGTTAACATATCATTGAAAGTCTTTTTCGGATGACCCATGTCCATTTATTCAGATACTTTCTGAAAATTTGGAAAGTTAAAGGTATGTTTTGTATCCGATCTACATGTATGTGCATCAACATTATCGTACATAATTCATAATAATGTTGTTCCCGCCAAATTACACGAGTGATCTTTGTGCTTTGCTAGTTGCATTGAAAACTTTTAGATCTCAGAAACGATTTCTTTTAACCCCATGTCATGATGATCGTGATAGAAAGCTCTGGAAACTATTTCTTAAAAACAAGGGAAAAGGACACCGGCTCTGGACTGGGGTGACCTTGGCGCTTGTTGGCAGGGCATGGAAAATTTTCTTTCTCCCTGCGACCGTAGAAAAAGCATGTATAAATTTCCTGCAAGAATGGGAAGATAAAGGGAAATAAGACCAGGTTCCAACCACCGTAATGATGTGTCACAAGCTGTGACTACTGACTCAATTTTTAACACTTTTCAAAATTCGGTTTTCAGTTTTTATTCTTGCTTTTGAACACTATCAGTGGTTTTAAAAAATGTTGCCATTTTTTGGAGTTGCCCTGCTTGCAAAGCTCATAGCCCTATCATTAATAGAGGGCCCATTCTGTAAACTTGCACCATGGTTATCTACACATTAAAGAAGCTTATGGTGTTAATTTTTCCGGGAGAGATACAAATTTACCGAGAGCCAAAATCTTGAGAGATGGTTTTTCAGAATTATTTTTTAACCATCTGGGAAGGTTGTACCTACTACCATATTTGAATAAAGGTTGAAAAAGGCTTTAAAAGGGTTACTGGTCTAAAAAGGGAACCTATAACTAAATTTAAATACAACTTACTTTTTTTAAGGAGCACAGGTTAGGGCTAAAAGTTCAAATCTATTAGGCTGAAATTTTAAGAACAAATTTTCATTATCAATGCAAGCCTTTTTACAAATTTGTTAAGAAATTGGAGTAGCCATAACATGTGGGTTGTTTGGTTTGGTATGAAATTACCCCCTCCTAACTGGCGAGAATATTCTCAAGCCAGATGAAACACTGTAATTTTTTTATAAAACAAATATTTTCAAAACATTATCAAGGGTTCTTAGGAAGGAAAATCAATTCAATCTTTGCAAGAGACCTACAAGATAAATTACTATTGTCTTCATGTTTTTAACTTATGATGAATAATATCAATAGTTCTCATATCAACATCAATAATTATCCCTGCTTTTATAATCAGATCTGCTTGTAAAGGCAATATAAATATGTTTGAGAATAAATATCACCAATTGTTGTATTTTATATGCAGCAGGTGGTTTTTTAAGACATAGAGGGAAACTTTGAAAAATTTTTGTGTATAATTATTTCACATCTAGTATAACAAAATCAGTGGGGTGCTAGTTTTCATATTGAAAGTGTGCCGTAAGAAATGAGCACATGATCTTAAACACCAGGATAGAGGGTTTGCCTCACTCACTAAAAATTTTTTCTTGCTCGCCTCCCCATGGTTAGAAAACACATCAGTGAACTTATGGACACAATAAGCAAGGGCCTAAGTGGCTATGATTTACCTTGAGAATTAGTTTAGTGTTACCCGAACTGAGGGCCAGTTCCTCATATTTTCAACTTTTGCCAGAGAAAAATTTTCTGCAGAGCAAATATGCTGCAACCCCTGCCCAAGACCCCCCCCCAACAAAAAGTATGAAGTGATGCCCCTGACAGGGCTGATAAAAAGTGTGCTACCATGCCACTTGGTCAGAGGCATACTTTAAATTACTGGCATTACAGTGAAAGCAATTTTTAGATAAACTTTGCAGAAGTTTATTATGGTCAAAGGTTGAAAGGCTTCCTTCCCTTGTCAAATGTTGAATGACTTTAAGATACAGCAGTTAAGGCAAGTGTTTTATCCACTATTTATGCAGGATTGAAGCGTTTGCTGCTCCTATTATTTTAAATGTAACAGTATTTCACTGTTATTTTTAGTTGTAATCATATTTTGCCAAAACATTCAACAATAATGGCAGATGGCAAAGAAACAAAAGAAAATCGAGATGAAACAGCAAATGCTGATGAAAATTTGCCAACTGAGACAATTCGCACTGGAACTCCTCGCAAATCAAGTAAGTATGTTTCATATGGAATCCTCACCATTTGTAAAAAAACCAAATGACTATTTTTGTTGCACAAATCTGTATTTCCTGTTTGTATATATGTGTCATTTCAATGAAAATTTTCTATAGATATTAAAAATTTTGTGTGGAATCATGAAAATTATGTACCTCATTGTAATGAACATTAGTAATGAAATTAGTGTTATGTATTGAAAATTAGTGCTTTATTGGTTTTTGATATTATTGTTCCATATTTTGTGTGTAAATATGTATTACCTTTCATGCCATGAGCCATATTTCTCAAAGTTTTCAGGAGAAACTTGGATGTCTTTGTTAAAATTTGTAGTAGAAACTATATAGAAAGAGTTGCAGCCAAAAACAACAGACACTCATTGCTTAAGTGGATATGTTTTTGCGCTTGTTTTAAACCATTATGCCCAGGAATTTGTATAGTGATATATGTCCATGAGCATTAATTTAAAAAGATAATCTAATTTTGTAAGATAATGCCCATATAGAATGTGCACATACCCTTTTTAGTTAAAGATGACAATATTACAAAATGTTTTGATCAAAGAAAAAGTATCAATTATATACCTTTAATGAAATCAGAGATTTGTTTAAATCAAAATATATAACCTAAATTTCCAATTTTAAAATCTGCACATGTTGGTTGAACTTTCCTTTGAATGCTCCAGCAGAGGAGAGTAACCACATGCCCCATTGGTTTCAAGACAGTAACTGTTCACCCCTGTACTATTCTCACAAGGACTATTCATATGGAACTTTGATTTTAATGGGCATACCGTAAAAACCAGACCCTAAAACTCAGGACCCTTAAGTACTAACATCAAAAAGGATCCTTAACACCAGAAGGGTCTTCACCTCGATCAGACAATAGTTGATCGCAGTTGCTGTCATAATCGCACCATGAGGACATATCAACTGTCAAATGCGCTTTTGTGCCAGCTACAGCGTTCTTCCGCATATTATACACATCAGCTGCTGCTTTCAAATAAGTCAGAAAGTCACGAAGAATTTGAAGATCTTTCAAAGTCGTTTAACTTCTTGGAGTCAACCATAAAGAAGAGGCACAGATCAAGATCAAGGCATGTGTCAGAGATGAACAGGCACACACTTTCTTTGATTGCTGCTTGTCGCTTTTGCGAGATTTTTTGGATTCTGCCCTCCCTATTCTGAAAAAATGGCATTATTGACAAATCATGGGGTGTGTAAACAGAAGTTTGAAATGATTCTGGAACTGATATCTACTTACAGAGGTCAGCTTCAATCAAAAACCCCCCACATGAAAATAAATTCAATGAATTATTTGATAATTGTTTTCTATAATCCAATGGTGGAGGTTTTCAGGATACATTTTTTTATATATAAAGATTTTTGCAAAGTTTGCAGGAAAATTTCTGTAGCAACCTCTCTCAAAGGGAACAAAAGAAAAGAAAACTAGAAGAAGCCCAAAAGGCTGCCGTAAAATTCCTTGTCGCTGTGTGACTCCATGACAGACTCATTTGAAAACAGCAGCTGATGTGAATAATATGCGGAAGAACGCCGTAGTAGAAGCAAAAAACGAATTTGACATTTGATGTGTCCTCATGGTGCGATGATGACAGTCAACTTTGATTGACTATTGTCTTATCGGGGCGAAGACCCTTCTGGTGTTAAGGGTCCTTTTTTATTTTAGTACTTTAGGGTCCTAGGTATCAGGGTCTTAGGGTCTGGTTTTTATGGTATGCCATTTTAATGTGCATTAAATAATACTGAATTTTTAAACTTGTTTGCATGAATTTCTTAGAGGCAAAAGAGCTGATGATAACAGAGGAATTTTGTGTTTTTTGCTATGGATCTCCAAGTAGCAATGATGAGGACTTTGAAGAGCTTTTAATGTGTTCTGAATGCCTTAAGTTTGGTATGATGAGCACTTTGTTTTTAATTTCAGTAGTTGTAGACACTTTGGCTATATCCATTGTAGATTTAGTTTGACTAAAACTGTTGATCCTAATCAAGTATTTATATTTGTTTCCTAGTTTTTGAGGTAGTTTTAGAACACAGAAAGGCAATGCTTATTGAGCAGTCTTGGTCCTTCCTCTTGCTATCCTTGCATCAAAGTCAATTTACTTAATAAATCATTTATCAAGTTGATATTGTCTTCAATCAACACATATTATCACTTGTCTTGTTGCATTGTGCTTCACTGATTTGAATAGTCTCTAGACACCTTTGCAATAATTTGTTTATTTTATTAGAGTACCATTAGACACATGTTAATCACAATTTGATGTAAAGTCTTTTCCAGTTAAGCTTTGTTACATGACAATTTTCTTTTTGCTTTAACATTTAGTCTAATGAAAATTTTGTTTTATCTTGCTGTTCACTAGAATTGCAAAAATGACAGCACATCTGTTTGTTCTCTTTGAGTTTCCAACTGCTGCAACTAATGGACATTGCTGTGCATTTCATTATACTACAACATGTGTGACAATATACTTTCAAATTTATACTATGAAAGATCTTAAGCAAGTTATATACTTGTATCAAATTTGTTGCTAACTGAGAGCAATTTCCATGGCTGCTCTTTGTTACTTGTTCAGAAATTTGAAATCGATAATTCCAACCAGAGAACTTGCAATTTCACCTATTTTGATTTAGCTCATCCAACCTGTCTAGAGATGCCTTTGGTGGCAGTTGAAAAAACCAAGATTTATGCATGGCAATGCAATGACTGCAAAGGCTGTTATGCTTGTGGGAAGAAAAATAAGGAGGTTAGTATTGTAATAAATCTGAAATTGAAATCTGGCAACTTTATTTGAAAATTAGCTTTAGGCCTTATAGAGAAACATTGCTATAGTTGTTTTATGGTTGCATTAAGTGTGAAACTCAAAGTTCCAACTTAAAACTGTTCTCATCTACACATTAAGGCATATGCTTTGCTATTATATCAATACATATCCATTTCTAATTCATCCTTATACATGCTCTTCTGTTATCAGCCATTTTAGTGTGTATTTGTCTAAACTTAGAAAGGACAGTTTCATTTTAAAGAGAATCTGTATATAGCTCTGTGTTTTGTTTTTATAGAAATCCATTATCTTGTGTGATTATTGTGATCGAGGTTTTCATAAATTCTGTCTGGAGAAAAAGCCAATAATTCTAAGAAAAAGTAAGTCAACGTATCAATTATAAAGACTATTTATCTATCATTTTTGTTCTTTTAAAGTATGTTCAGTTAATTATAATTTTATAAAGTATGCCAAGAATATCTTTATGGATTTCTGCTCCATAAATTTCTGTCCCATTCTTTTCTATTTCTTGCATTATCCGTACAAGAAATCGTTTCATTGAGATATATACGTGTCTTATTCAACTCCCGAACATTTGAACAGAAAAACGTAAAAATTTATTTGCTTTATACTTTCTTGAATTCTTTAAAGCTTATTATTTAAAAATGTTTTTGGTAGCTTATATTCTCATCTGTAAGGTCAATGGTATGTTTTTACGATTACGTTGAAAGCTGTTTGTTGCGACTGTTCACCAGCCTAGACCTGCTTGAAACTCATTTACAGGATTTTGATATCAGGAAAGCCTTTGACATTATCTAGGCTGAATGTGTTTAAACTCAGCTCAAGCATTCTTTGGTACTTGCGAAGTATTCGATGTAGCACATGGTTTTTTTCTTTAATGCCAAATTTAATGATAGCATGATAGGAGGTTAACGATTTATCAATATAGTTAAGAAATCCTTTCAGAGTCCTGGAAGTGCCCTTGTTGTGAAGAAGATGACAATATTCTAGATACTGATGGAAACTCTTCCGAGAAAAATAAGGCCGATCAAAGTAGGCAAGAAATAATAGTTGCAGGAGACGAAGATGAAGAGACACTCATTGAAATGAAGAGTGGGAAGGAACATCATTCCTCTGATACCAAAGATGATGAAGAAATGCATTCGAACATTGATACTGAAAAGGCTTCACCGAACTTGGGAACAACCGAACACAAACAAGAAGCTGCACATGGCAGAAGTACAGTAAGCATTGTAAGTAACACAGTTATTGAAAATGTCAAAAAAACTGTACATCAGTCAGGTGCAGTTAAAGATGATACTGGCAAGCTGATTCACGTTTGTAAAGATGATCCTTCTAGAGGTTCTGCAAAGAAGGGATCGACAACTCGAAGCCGGCAAGTTAAGTCTGTGGAAAATAAGGCAAAGGAGAAAGTAGATGCAAAGGGGGGAGAAGAAGCAAAGGGAGGAGAAGATGCAAAGGGAGGAGAAGATGCAAAGAGGGGAGAAGAAGCAAAGGGGGAAGATGAATCTATTGAAAAAGATGAAAAGAAAAAGATAGAGGGTACTACAGGGGTAGAAGGAAATTCTGTGGAAAAAAGGAGCCAAGGCGATGTAGCAATAGTTGGCAAACGGAGCGGCAGGGCCAAGACTTTAAGGGCTGGTAAAGATCCACAAGAGAGAAAAGGTTCTACGAAAGTAGAAGCCGATAAAAGCGACGCAGTGGTTGAGACAGAAAATAATTCTGCAAGGAAAGATGCGAGCGGAAATTGTAACGAGAATGTAGAAGAACTGGCTAATTCTGAAAAAAACAAAACAGCAAATTCGTATGAGGGGGCGGAAAATTACTCTAGCATCACAAAACGAGATATTCAAAATGCAGAAATGCAAGATGAGTCTGCAAATAGCGATGACAAAGAATTGGGTAAAGATATAGGAGTAGAGAGAAGGGAAAGCAAGGGCAAAAGTAACACTAAAAGTAGTACTGCTAAGCAGGATTGGAAAAATACATATGATGTTGATGTCATGGTTGAAGATATTTCTCGAACGAAAAAGAAAATCGAAGAAAATGACAAAACTGTAGACACAGAAAATAACTCTACCAAGAAAATTAAGAAAGGCTATGCATTGAGAGTTCCGAAACGGAAGCTAAGGTCGCCTGGAGGAGGTAGAGATAATGATGAAGAGGAACAGAAAAAGTTGGCGAGGCCCGGGATTTTTCTGCCAACAGAAAGAGAAAGAAAGAGGGTCCTGAAGAGGAAAATACGGAATATCACTCTGTAATGGAACAGAAGGAAATTAATGATTTAGGTTTTTCTAGACGGAACTTAAGGTCGTGTGGAAAGAATGCTGGCGAGGAGAAAGGAGATGAAAATATCAATGAAGGCAAAGAAAATACCAAAGATAAAGATGCAATCAGAAAAGAATGTGTAAATGCCAAAGAATCGTTGACCGACGATCTTGAAGATAAACCTGCAGAGAGTGATGAACTTCCTTCTGTGAAAGTTGACTGTAAATCAGAAGAAAGTGATTGTTTGAGCAGTCCATTAAAAATAAAGAGACCGAGGAAGCAGTATGTTCGCGAAAGATGCAGCCGTAGACTGTCGAATATCTCTGGAATCACTCATTCTGATTTAGCAGAGGATTCTACGAGAATGGTCGAGGGTAAGGAGGTTTTGCCTAAAGTTAATGATAAAGATTCAGAAATAGGGGATAGTGAAGTTTTGAAAACTAAAGTTAGGTCGAATGATGCGAAATGCCACGTTGAAGAGGTTGTGAATAAGGTTGAGCCACAAATACAAGAGGCAGTTACGGATGATGAGATTATTGATGTTGTTGCTGTGAACAAGAATGTGAAAGAAGAGGCTCAGCCCAAAGCAGTGTCTGAGGATGTCAAGAAATATGTAGACACAAATGGCAACAATGAAAACGTTGATAAACAAAAGAATGCTTTTGAAGCAGAACTCAGGCATCGACAGAACGAAGAAGGCACTGACGAGCAACCAGTGAAACGGAAAAGGGGAAGACCACGGAAATTTCCCATTTCTGGTGCGTTTTCAGTTATAATATGCTTTTAATAAGTAATATTCCAGTAATAGATATAAATTGTGCCGGGATAACTTGGAATTGGCAAAATATTCTTTGATGATCATGATGGGTCTTTTCCGTGATAAGATATTGTTAAGCAACGATGTTGTTGATTGTTTCTCATTGTGTTTATTGCATTCTTTTGTACTAGGGAAGAAAGAATCTACGCCAAAAAGAGAAGAGTTAAGAAAAACTTCGTCAGCAGTAACAATCAAGGTATGCATGGTAACGATCTGCAAAATTTATCATAAATAGATAGGAATTGGTCTTTGCTTTCGAACTCCTATGCGGTCCTCAATAAAGATGAATTCTTGTGCAGATGGGGAATTTTTCAAATCTCAAGACTTATTGCTTCTCTCTATTGCGAGACTGTTTTCTAATAGCTTCAAACATTTCGTTTTTATGCAAACTGTACCTTAGAATGAAAATATTTTTTTGCCTCAAAGTTCTAGATTGAATAAAGAAAGAAGCTCGTACCAAAGAATTTTTTTATTTTTTATGTTTCTTATTTTCTCAAAATTGGTCCTATTGGTTTCGCAGCTGTCCTTACATTAGGCGGCAAAGAGGGAGGGGAGGGGAGGGTTGGTGGGAGACAAGGAGAAAGAGAACAAGGCAGGGAGCGTTTTGTTCGAATCTTTATCTCCAACTTCTTCTTAATTCCAAAATACTAGAGAACACTTCTCAAAAGCCCATCACACTGATACAAATGAACCCATCTGACAGCTTAGTCCTCTTGGTAGCCTAACTCGATTAATTGTTTCTTAACTGGAAACAGCTTTGAAACCGTAACAGAGGCATGGTAATAAGACTGGGGGCAAAGCTGGGCGGAGCGAGCCCAGTTGGGCGGAATGTTAGAACTCGCACCTAGAAAAATATTTAGGATCACACCCTATGGGATGCCTAAAAGTGCAGCCTTGTTAAAAAAGGTATGAAATAAGGTTTTTCCTTTGCCTTGTTTTAATATGTCGCAGTTTTTCGTTACTCCCAGACGCCAGAATTCTGATATTCAGGGCGAGGGTTGGGTTAAGTTTAAGATACTAACCAGTAATTCTTTAAAATCTGTTTCCAGGACCCTGATGACGTAGAGAGTTGTGAGGAGGACAGTAATATGTCTCGAGTTTTGCGAAAGACATCTCGAGAGCCAGCAATAACGCCAACAACTGCCAGGTCAATTTTAGCTGCACAGACTGTGCAAGTGTACCAAACGAAAGCTGACTACACTCCTGATAAAAAGAACTCTAATAAAGTTTTGAAGCGAACCCCGTTGAGCAAACCTGTGAAGTCACCCAGGGTAACTCCAACGCGTTCCAATAAACTCACTCCAAAGACAACACCAACTACACCAAAACGATTTGATACCAGTGGGAAACTCTCGTCCAGGGAAAGGTCTGAAAAAGGAGGCTCTGGTGTAAAATTTTCGGGTATAAAGAAGTCTCAAGAGAAAAAGTCGGCTTCTAAAATGTCTAGTCAAAAATCGTCAGAGAAGCGGAAGCCTGGCAGGCCACCAGCAGCGAAGTCACTTGAAAAGAATAATTCTTCGATTGGAATTTCTAAAAGAAAATTGTCTTTTGATGAAAAGCAGAAAGATTTAAAGAAGATGAAAAGATCCAGTAATAATAAGGATGCCAAGCCTACCCAAAGATCAAGGGGACGCACCAAAGCTGCAAAATCGGACGAAGATGTCGAGTCGGTTGCAAGTCAGGGTAGCAGTGATTTTGAAAATATCGTTTCCGCAGCAGACATCGAAATGTTCAAAGAGACCCAGGAGAAAGTGAATCTCAAAATGGTGAGATTTTGTGTATTGTAGCATTGTTGTCGTTTTGAACACCTCTTTATACATGACACTTTTTTACCTGGATTCTACCCAGGTTGAGCCCAACGAAGTTTTTTTATCGTTTAAAGCCCTTCTTAGGGTGGATTAGCGTGATGAAAAAGATAATGGGGTTGGGTTGAGCTTAGGTTGAGTCATGTACATTCGATATTCGGTTCCCGCCTGGATGGACTTTTATTGAATATCTGATAAATCAAACATAGAATGAGCCTGGGTACAATCAACCTTTAGCAAATGCGCTCTAATTAGTTAAAGGAGCGTTTGCTTGCTTTTATGAATTTAGTTTCTTGATTAAGTTTATGTTGGATGCATCATAACTGTTAAGGATTCTAGCATTAAGAGGGATGCTATTAGTGACAATGCTGGCGGCTATGTTAAGCAGTGTTTGTAAATTTTACATAAACCGCATCGCAGCCACCATGAAAACTATCTCTAAGCACAATTTTGTTTACATATTTTGAAAAGTCCTAAAGCAAGAGATATTTCTTTACACTATAATCTATATGCTGATCCCAAGCAAAGTTATCATTGAACTTTACTCCTAAATATTTTACATTTTAATGAAAAGATACCTTTTCCTATTGAGTAGAAAAATAAACAATACAAAGGAGATATAAATGACATAAGAATAAATTGCTGTTGGGCGCATTTTCTATAGGAAGATGATAAGATCAATAATTTTGTGTTTCTTGGTTCGTGAATTGGTAAATTAATTTGGAAAGGTAATAACTGAAGTCTTTGGGCTGGATCGACGATGAATACCAAAGGCAAATAAAATATCATTAATCCCAAGGAAAAGCTTGATTTCAATTTTAGTGCCTTAATATTACTTTTAATTGTGCCATAATGATATTCACTGATAACTCTCTATAACTCTTTCTTTAACCGACTGAGGTCACTGTCAAGTGTAGTTTTAAGGTCTCTAATATTTTTCGCAGAATATTGAATGCTTGTGGCATTTGAATTTCCAGAGAGATATTTCGAGGTCCTTGATGTAGATTAGAGAGAAAAAGAATGTACCATGAAATGAACCGTGTGGAACACCGCAAGTAACTCTTTGTAAATTTGAAAACGCGACTGCTTTGTAGGCTGGACTTAAACCAAGAGCGCTCAAGCCAATTGATGCTACATTTCTTCAGTTTTATTTGATAATTGACGGCGTGAAAAGCCTATAGGTCAACAAATACCGCGGCAGTGTATTTCCCGTTATCTGTATCATATACCAGCCGTCAGTGCGCTTTAAAAAGCTAGGAACTCCTACGCCTTATATTGTTTTTTAACGAAGCATTTGTTCTGTTTGTCGCAGGATACTGTTAATGACAATGCCATGGAACAAGGAATAAGGAAAGTTGAATTCGGTGACTTCGAAATCGATACATGGTACTCGTCTCCATATCCAAGCGAATACAAAATCCTTGGCAAAGTTTTCGTTTGCGAATACTGTTTGAAGTATACGAAAAGTGCAACCATTCTGCGAAGACACATGGTAAGTTTTTAATTAATGTGGCATTTTGATGAAAACAGATTGAGCATATTTATTTATGAGCTATGGTCAGAGAAAAGGAATATTCCGGGAGATTGGTAAGAGGCTTGGTCTGAGATTTTTTCATCAACTGACTGTAGTCGTGGGTTCTTGTGCTTTCCAAGAGGCTGAGATGGAAATATGAAGATGGTAGTTGATTTAAATCGTAAGATATTGCTAATGAATCTTACCGTAATCTGGCACCTCAGTGCCTCAGTGACATATTGGCTTCCAGTTGGCCCTATTCGACAACTCTTATGCTTTGATGCAACGAAGAGCCAATCTCTGAATACTGAGTAAACAAGCAAGTTCAACATGAGCTCGTGTTTATCTTTTTGATAAACTAATCTAGAAGAAAACTATTTTGCGGGGTCCATAAAGTCGTGTTTCAATGACAGGAAATTTAAGCTAAAATTTCATTTATAATTAAAGCTGTCAGTGGCGTAACGGACGTTACCTACAATTCAGAAGCTAACGGTCCCGACCTATAGGGGCCCCCAGCAAAAATATTTCGTTGATGCTGATATTCTTGATGTGACAAATGAGTACCGGCCCAGTCTGCACGATTACTTAGTCTTATAACTAAGAGCCTCTTACTGAAAATGCTCAAAGAGCCACAGATACCTCTGTTACGTCACTAACAGCTATGTTTGCTCAAGCTGTGGCATAGGCCACCTAAAACGAACGTAAGTGAGATTTTGGGCCAGGTGTCTCTTCATATTCATGTATTAATATCACATTCAAGCCATTTATACCACAGGAAGATATGTTGATTAATGAAGCGAATTTCAACAGACACACTGTTTCTTAATACTAAATTTAAAACCATGGCTATGAGACCCTTTGTTTCACCCATAAACTAATATTTCTGCTCTTATACATTCAGCGGCATTTAATTTTCAAGCTAGCGAATGAAGCATTTAATCGTTTACAGGCAAAATGCTTATGGAGACACCCGCCAGGCGATGAGATTTACCGAAAAGGAAACATTTCAGTCTTTGAAGTTGATGGAGCAAAGAGTCAAGTACGTATCCAATCTTTTGTGAACATTACTTCGATAGTGGCTTTTACGAAGGAATGTTTTTCAGTTTTGTGGATAATAATGTGATGGTGATGTAAAAACAGGGCTTTTTTCAACTACAAATCAGGAGTGTTGGCAGTCTTCAGTTTTACGAGGGTTTTTAATTAGTTAAGGAGGAATAGAATTCAAGTCAAATTTTTATTAGGATCGAATCGAGTACAGACTACACTTTCAACAATTTCGATGACTTGCTTAAAGTCAAATAAAGGCACCACCTCAGAATAGTGAAATTTTCTTCCTTGTTTAAATTTACCCTAACAGATGCGCCAAGTACCAAATTATAAGCTATTCTTGTCGATATAAAATTTTGTACTTTTATATGTTATTCTGTTGTTGTGATTTTATGTTGTTACTGGTACTTCTTCTCTTCATTGACAGTCTAAGATTTCTGTTGCAATGTTATATAAAATAGTTTTTATTCTATTTATTTCTACCTAGCATCTGAAGATTGTTTTTAAAACAATTATATACTATTCTTATCGAGAAATGTGCTGGTCCTTCTTTTAGATGTGACCACGCCTCGTGATTCCTACACCAAATATTACAGAGAGCCGGTGACTCTTGTCACTCTAAGTGAGAGTCTGGTCATGTCAGTGACTCGAGCTACAAGACCCTTGGTTGTAAAGTTTGCAACCATAACCACTAAGCCATCCTGACATTCTATCATTTTAACCTTATTGTATCATAGCCACTGAGTGTTCTCACATCCTTGCAAGTTATTATTTTTCCCTGTAACATCGCTCACATTTTTGCCTATTAGAAGTGAGTATTAAATGATCTTCCATATCGCTTTGTTCTTACAGGCATATTGTCAAAACCTGTGTCTTTTCGCCAAGCTTTTCCTCGACCACAAAACCCTTTACTATGAAGTGGAGCCATTCTTGTTCTATGTAATGACCGTTGCTGATACCTCAGGTTGCCACATGGTGGGATACTTCTCCAAGGTATGTCTGATCCGTAAAGCAGGTTCTGATAATAACACGCTCTACAACCTATCGTCAAGACCCCTCCATACCGTAAATCCTCGAATAGGCCCCCTCGTGTAAGCCCCCCTCGAATAAGTCCCTAACCTGGAAGTAAAAATTGTTCATATGCCCCACCCTCTTCTAGGCCTCCACCGTAACATGTCAGTTACACCTTTTGAAAATCCCAATAAGGGCTTTAACGATAAAAAGGCAGAAATTTCACTTGTTAGTCCGTGCTTGATTATACATTCAACGGAGAATGAAAAAAGCTACAATAAACGAGGCATGACAAAGCGACCGGCGAGGACCATGAATATATTAATGTTTTTAGACTAAAAATCTTTTTCGCCAAACTCATTTGTATAACAATCTGCAATCTAATATTAAATTCATCCTGCTTAATGATGCCTGACTGAAATTGAACATTTGCCTTGCTTTAAGTTATACTGGGTTTTCAACTTTCTGGACCATAACACCAGAATACTTAACAGACAGTCAGCAATTTCATTGGCATGTTAGTAGTACTGCTCAGGGAAATCATTTAGTTACATTAGCAAGTTTCTGCCAATGGCTGTTTTCACTGCTGGAAGGTGTCTGTATTCCGGTTATTAACAGATTTCAGGATCTTTAGAGAACCCGAAAAGTGGCTAATTTTTTATGCATCTGCTAAAAAAGATTTGAGGCATTTTAAGCTGCTTTCATAAGATATGTTATTTAATTCAGATATAAAGACCTATCAAGACTTAGGAGCGTAGTTATAAATTGTTTTGCAAAAAACCTAATCCTGGAATTTGAATCACCTCATTTCACTGCTGTGTTATTAGAATTGGGATTATACTAATCTCTAGCAAGATTTGGGGCTCTGCATGTTTTTTTCCTGTTAATATCTGGTCATGAAATCCAGGATGAAATATAATTGGATTACAATATATTAATATTATTCTGCCAGAGCTCTGCAAACTTGGTTTAAAATTGCTGTTTAAAGCGATGCCATTGAGCAAACCATTGTCATTTTATGTAATAAAGTTTAATTGCATAGCTGTGATTTAATTTACTTTTAATAGTAATGAAATTCAAGGGCTCGAGAGGTGTGACTAAAGGAATACAAAAATATATCGATCATTGACGGGAGAGGATGCTTGAAATGCTCGTTAAACTGAACTAATTTTTTATTTTGACCTTAAATCTGATTTGTGCTTTTGTGACACGAGGGTGGTTGCTGGCCTTTTCCTTGGGATGACATTTTTCTTGGATATCATCGATCCCAAGACTTTCAGTTATTCCCTTTCCAAATTAATTTACCAATTCATCGACCAAGAAACGCAAAATGATTGATCTTATCAGGCTACATAAAGAATGCGTCCAACTCAAATTTATTTTCTTGTCATTTATATCTCCAACTCCTTTGTAACGTTTATTTTTTCTACTCAACAGGAGAAGGTATCTTTTCTAAACTATAATGTATCCTGTATTCTGGTAATGCCACATTGCATGCAAAAGGGCTATGGAAAAGTTCTTATCGATTTTAGTGAGTATTTCATAATAGTAGTTTATAATATCATTACACTGTTCCTGTAAACAGAACATTGGGTTCCCTATTTTATGGTCTGAATGCATTGGCAGAGAAGCTCGCCGTCCTCTTTACGCTGATTGCACAGGATAGTTGTCTGTTAAGGATCCTACATCCAGGATCCTACCTTCTGTTTACTCTGCAACAGAATATAGGCATCAAATTGATGAAAACAGAACGGATCAAAATAGTTTGAAAACAGAAGTTATTTAAAAACATTTTAATTTTGTGTTTTTTTAGGCTACCTCTTATCTCGTGTGGAAGGGAAGATAGGCTCACCAGAGCGTCCGCTGTCAGATCTAGGGCTGATTAGCTATCGAAGTTATTGGAAAGATGTTTTACTGCGATACCTCAATACTTTTCCAGATGCACAAGTCAGCATAAAAGGTACGATGATAGAAAGCTTTTCTGTTGGAAATATTTTCAATTTCTAAGAATGCTTGCAAGAAAGTCGGAGCTAGCGGGCATATGAAAGTGCTGCATAACACAAAGATGTTAAATCCGATATCAGATATGCAAGAATTTACAGAAGTTAGAATACTTCTGTGGAAAACCTTTAAGCCCCTTACTTTGTATCGTTTTTACCTCGTTGTATATGCACGTAAAGTTAACAAGTTGGAGTGAATTCTTTTTCGTACTCCATTCGCACCATTTGCACCTGTTTCCTTTCTACATTGCTATATGTTTCTTGAATTAGCACTGTATTTTTTGTTGGAATTCCCAAAGTAAAGCCAAATCTGCTTTATTTGAAGAATGTGTCGGCAAAGTTTCACAAAATGCAATTTTATAATCACACCGAGTATATGCGCCTGTTTATGTAGCATATTTTTTGTAGCGCCGAACAATGGTTTTTTTATAACACCAACATAAGCAAGCAATGCGTAATTTTTTACCTGAATGAATGTCATATCTATGCAGAAATGAGCCAGAAAACCTCTGTAATGTCAAACGACCTGATAAGTACAATGCAGTATCTTGGTATGCTGAAATATTGGAAAGGAAAACACATGATCACAATCCAGCAGGTAGGTTAGTTTAACTTTCTAAAATGATCTGTTATGGATTATTACAGTACTGTTTATGCACAATAGCCTGTAAACTCAGAGAAAATATAAAAGATAGATTTTGTGATGTTTCGTGTTAGATTTAAAGAAATAATGGTGGAAATTTTTTTCTAAATGCAGGATATGTTAGACATATATGAGAAGAAAAGTAAAGCTCGTGACAGGATAAAAATGGATATTGATGAATCTTGCCTCGAGTGGACGCCAAAGGATTATGGGCAAGCTAAAGGCAGGGTAAAGATTCCCTGAAAAGAGGTTCGTTGTCGGTAATATGATAGTATATGTCTCATGGCTATGACTACCACGATTAATGAATGTGCTAAAAAGTCTAATTCTGAGACTATTTCGGTTCTCTGGCTGCTGCTATTCAGTACTCGTTTCTATAAGATTAATGATTTCACAGTATTAAAATATTATTAAACTTTGAGCATTACCTGTCAAAAGTTTTTTAATGACAAAACTGTATGTTAAAGCATTGGATTAAGGTATTAGTAATGCTGCAAGCACTTACCCTTTGAAAAGCTTCAAGCTTCAAGCACTTACGCTTAAAAGTATCTGACACAATCAACTTTTGGCATGACGTTATGAAAAGTTCTTGTTGATTTTCCACTTTATATTGAGAAAATACTCCTTCTATGCAAACATTTTACGAACAATGATTCTGGATCAGTTCAGATATTAAAAGTCACAAACCTAAAGTGATTTTACTCGAAATAAACACAAAAGACAACCGAATATACAGAATTGTAACACCCAACTTTTTCTGAATGGCTTGAAGAGTGCATTTGCTATTTAATATCGTTCTAGTGTATCGATTTTTTGATAATTGGTTTGGCAATTTTTTCTTTCTGTCACAAGGTCTTTACAATAATAGGTCAAATCTTATTTTTCATTTCACAATATCACCAGCTAATTCGTTGCAATGCTTTTCAATGCTATGATGCCCTTTAATCGGTTTCAGATTTTTCATCTGGCTAGCCCACTGTCATTTTGAAAGTTTTTAGTTTAATGTTTCTAACGCATATTTACTTTTTTGCAGATGGATACTATCGCCCATATTTTTTGGCATAGAATTTCTGGCATTGAAATGCGCAATTTTATCGGCATTATTAGATGACTGAATTTTAATGCATACGAAATCGATTCCATTAATTCAGAAAGCTCCCTATACTTAATACGTCCCTGTATTCTGTGATTCTGTTTCATGGAGTTTTCATTTTGGCCTCGTGGTGAACCGAACAGCTTGTTATTTATTCCTTGCTGGGACTCAAAAGAACTCAAAATCATTTCAGCAGCTATCGAGAGAATGTGAAGACAGTTTTCTTTGAGTATGTAATGCACTGAGAAAACCATTTCCATTCATTTTAATAGCAATGCTTAACAAAATTGAACATTTTACCCACGAACACACTTTGTGCAATCATTGTAGTATTTTAGATGTATATAGTAAAGTAATCTAGTTGATATAAATAGTACCGACGAAATGATATGTTGTATTATTGTTTTTTGTTGCAACATAAAATTTTCAAGGTTTTTTAGATCTGACCCGCCAATTTTGAAGAAATTTTAGTCAAAATTTTATTGATATTTTACTGAGATTAGATTCCTGTTGAAGCCAACTTCATCGGTCACGATTAATCAGCACTAAACAACGAAAACTTAAGTAAATTTTAAATGTAACAATGTACATTTTAATGGAATGTGGAGAGAATTTTTGTTCTGTAAAGACGGAACTCTATCTGCCTTTTTCCAAAACAGTATGCCAACAGTCAGATTCTTTAAATGGGGCTGGGCGTTTATTGGTTATGTGGATATTTGACTTAGCTGCTTAGACTTACTCCATGAGCCTCTGTTTTGCTACTGCCTCACTTGACCAATCATATAGAAGCGCCGAAGGAGCTAGATGTCTAACTCGGGCCATGCTGCGTACTGCCGAGTGAGGCAAATTTGTTAACTCCCGCCATTTTAAATAGTGGCAAAAAGCGAGCTGCAATAGGGTTCAGTATGGAAAATTGCTTGTTTTAATGAATGATTTTCTCGTGGCTCACAACTATTTCAGTGCTTTTCTGATGCAGGTAGTTAGAGGAGATATAAATCAACAAAAAAGTGGCGATCGCCACCCGGGCCCTGTGTGCAAAAAATTTACGGCCTTTCCGCGTTGGAGAAAATTTTTTAACTTAATGTCAAATATTTAATACCCTAGACTGATTGTATTACGATTAAAGTCTCAATACACGCGCTTCAAACCACCCAAACCCTGGTTTCCGTTATTTCAGCCATGTATTCAATCTTACGTGTACCCTGGGTCCAAGAGCCAAAAAATTTCGAGCGCGTAAACAGAATGCCAAGCAGAGAAGCGAATCAACGTACTCTTATCTTCTATTTCCGCTCCCTAATTTATGTGGCTCTGATGCCCAGGGTATCTGACTGTCAGAGACAGTGCTGTGGGAACGAAATTCATATTGGGGGGGGCTGCTCATTGTATTTATTTCCACTTAGTACACTGTTATACAGGACATAAGGCTTAGGCTGCAATTATTGGGAGGGGGGCTTCAGTAAATGAAAATAACGTAAAATTCAAAACAGGAATTTCAGAAGAGAGATGACAAGGGGTCGTCACTTTCATCTGGTTACAGAGATCTGTATCAGGATTTAACAATGCTAAGAAGATTTGTTGACACAAAGAGAAAGCAAAAGAGCAATAAGAGCCTTTTTTCAAAATTTCAAGTTCATAGAATGTCAGAATTGCTGGCATTTGCAAATTGCTACCAGCAGCTCATCGATCAAGTGAAAACAACAACTGGTGGAAATAGAGATCCTGAAAACAGATGATCTCAAGGAACCAGCTCTTAGAGAAGAAACTTATGGAGAGGAAAACTGTGACTTTCAAGGTGGGGATTCACAAAGAGAGAAAGGACCCCAAAGTCGACATCGGCACCCTTTATCAAAAGGGTAAAAGCTTGCCAACTGTGCATACCCTGTGCGTTAAAATTTTTGTACCGACGCTCATTTTTATTTTTTTTTATAAATTCATATCTTTATCATATATAACAATTTTATAAGAATATGAGCATCAAAACTGGTCAAAAGTTGAGATCAAATTAGGAACAAGCTAAGGCTGAGTTACTATTTAATACATTTTTGAACAACATTTTATCCCAAAAAGAGGATTTTTAGCCATGTGTGGTTGCTTTTCGGTGAAAATATTCAATCTTGTCGTCAAATGAAGGCTGTCTCACTCACTTTGTTGGCAAATAATGCCTGAACACCTCCCAAGAGCGAAAAAGCTAGCAATCGCACTGCTTACACCCTAATAATTTAAGAACAAATTAAGGACAATCCACCCTCGGATTTTTGCGAAAATTAAGAACAGTCAGCCTGAACCTAAATTTACTGGTTTTTATAAAAAAAATAATTAGTGAATACAACATGCACCTAGCAGCATACCCTTCCCTCTACAACGCGTATAAATGCTTGATGACACTTAGCTGCACCCAAGTTTCCTTTGAAAGATTATTCAGCGCTACTGATAATTTCAAAGAAGAGAAAATTTTCCACTTGACTATGAGCAAATCATTGGCCAATTTGCTGATTCATTTGCCCTTCTTCGAAAAGAGTTGAAACTCTGAGAATTTAAATAAGTTTTGATCTTGATTCTTAACTCTACATGGGATTTTAAAGCCTGTTTACACGAGAGGAAAGGTATGGATCCAATTGGGTCCGAATTTACGAATTAAAGTCGATATACTGCTGCTGTTTAGCGTATTGCTTTATTATCAATTTTTATTGAATCAATCGTGTTCTAAGCCACATTTTTAGTGGGTGTGGCTCAATTTTTTCCACCACGCCCTAAACCGGGCCCTCGAGTTTTCTAGCCACCCCGCGATTTTGACGCCAGACCGCCCCTGGTTTCGAAGCTGCTTATATCTTGGCCATAGTGCTGGATCTCTCTCAGCTCGTCTCTTAATATGGTCTCTCTCGCACATCAAATTCTTGATGCTTGGAGAAATCCATGGTACATGTGCATGCCCCGTCTTAGCGGTCCTTTTTTCAACGGGGCATGCACATCCAAGACAGCGAGAAAGAGATCGTAGAAATTGCTAGCCATCCTATTAGGGTCATCCGATCTACATCATATAGCCTTCTCCCAGTCAATACTACCCAAGTCATTAAGGAAAGAGTCACAGTCATCATTTTTCAAGCTGCGTGACTCTGTTTTAAATTTCACGTCATTGACATAAACTCTAGCGTTTAATTTTCTAATACAGTATGGCATATAGTTGTCTGTAATACCGATTTTTACGACCGATACATTACAGAGGTTGTTGGGTCGGTTTGAAGAAAGGTGATCTATTAGCTAAAAAGTTTTATTAGGCTCTTTATCTTAGTTTTAGTTAAATTATGTGAGCTTCTGCTAGATGCCCAGAGCATCTTAGGGCAACTGATAAATTATTACTGAATGTTTTATCTTCGACAAGATCAAATTACGAAATTTACAGCAATGCTGACATTTACAGGAGATGTTTTGTTTTTGGTTCTGGGAATCTCGATTTGTTTTAAGATTTGATAAGAGAGTCTTTCCGATGGTTATACGAGAATTACAATACATGAACGCTGTATCGAAGTGACGAGGAAAATTCACATTTTGTGAACAAAGCAGGAATCTGGGATAGCCGCAAAAAGACATTTTCACAAATCCCAAAATTCAATACTGCACATTTTGGAAATCAATACTGTACGTTTTTAAATCAATACTGATCAAAGTGTGTAATACTGCACACTAAAATAGGCCCTGGAAAGAGCATTATCATTCAAGAAAGGAACATGCACAAATTACATAACAAAATATAGGCAACATTGGAATAAACCCCTTCCCCCTAAATCATCATCTAATTTGCATCAGTTATTGATCATTATGACCGTAAAAATTTGTGTGAACCCCCTCCCGCCATCTTTGATTAGGTAATATGTGAACGTTCCCATACCCAACTGCCAACGCATCGATAATCTTATCCAGATACAACCATTCTGAATGAAAAGAACATAGGATTGTACTCAGTTAATGCTTCAAAAGTGAGAACCCTCTCAGCTATTCGATATCAGGCATTTGAAATAATTCGCATTAGTCATAAGTGAAGAAACATATTTGCGCTGGTCATAGGTCTTGGTTAATCACAAGTCTTGGACGTTTTTGAAGATATCGGAAAACTGTTCAATAAATTATACAATTACGAGGAATTAGCAAAAACTGGTGGAAATTCGATACATCATTGATATAGTTTTTCTCAATTTAATGGTGAAGCTAACTAAGCTGTAAAATCTATGACGCCGAAACCATAACCAAGGTGAACTTTTTATGCAAACGTTTTTTCGAATATTGATAATTGCCTTTCGAAAGTTCTTTGAAAAATATAACTCGAAGCAAGGGCGTACCGGGAAATTTCGCCGGGTCCTGGTGGGCCGAGGAGCGATGGGTGGAGAAAAACTGTGAATAATTTTTCGCAGGTAGAAAGGCCAAAATTTGGTGTATCTTGCAGAGCAGTGAGAGATCGCTTCCAGATTATTTTCACCAACAAAAAGTCCAAAATTAGAAGAGCAGAAAATGCAAGTGGAATTAATCCTGAGCACAAAGAAAAACATGTTCTCCTTGCATAATAAAGGAGCTTTTGATGCAGCAAATGCTGATCAGCAAGCAGCAAGTTAAAGAAAAACAAACTGCAGAAATGGAAAAAGCTGAAGAAATGAGAAGGAAATCAGTAGAAACAATTGGAGAAAGCAGGAAGAGAAAGGAAGGGGAGGTAAAAAATGTAAGTGAAAAGAAACGTAACGTTCGGCAGAAAACCTTGTTGGCAGTTGACTCAATCCGGGCTGACTCACAATTGCGTTTGGAAACCAAGTTTAGACCCACTTTCCGTTTAGAATACAAATTGAAGAGAGTTTACTCTGGGTGAACTCAACACAGGTTGAACCCGGGTAGCTTTTTGTAGTGTAAACCGGGCTTTCGATTGAAAATAATTTCACTTGCTTTCATTAAGCGTCGGACGAAGAGTTCAAGTGAATTTTGTTCCCCTTTTCCAAGGTATTTTGAACATTATTTCTTCCTTGTACTCATATTGTAGTTTTCTAAATGCATTATCAGTCATTCTATCAATTCAATTTTGCGTAGACAGAATATGCTCAATGCATTCTAAACAACAGGTTACACCATTCAATCTTTTCCTCTCTTGGGTACAGTTAAATTTTAGCTGTAAGTCAGCTTTGTGAGTTATTTTTCTCCGATCGCAGTAGCTGCCTAAAAAAATCATCATATCTTTGAAACGCGTTCAGATTTGTAAGAGTTATTAGTTTCTATAGACTAAACACTGAAACAACGAATTAAGAAGGTACCTTTCAGAGTTGTTTTAATGTTCGCAACTTTTTAAAAATATAATTTTCGCAACTTTAGATCTGCAAATTTTTTTTATAAAAAGGAAATTATGCTTTTTGGCTTTGCTCTACTCTTCAAATGAATGTATAGCGAAGGGCTGGAGGTGGAGCGTGTGAGTAATGACGTCATTGGCAATATAATAGAGGGGTTCAGAGAGATGGTGACACAGAGGGCCAGGCCTAAGCTGACTCGGCCTAAGCTGACTCGGCCTAAGCTGACTCGGCCCGGGCTGATTCGGCCCGGGTTGACTCGGCCCGGGCTGACTCGGCCCGGGCTGACTCGGTCCGGGCTGACTCGGTTGAGCCCGGTTAACTTTTCTACTGCGCATGCGGAATAAGGTTGCGAATTGAAATGGCGCCAATTTTTTCTGCATCATTTCGCAAAGCTTGTGCTTTCTACTAGACTTTAAGGTTATGGTAAACGTTTTCTGGATGAAACCATTTTCCGATTTCTCAACTTTCTAGAGCGGAACTTTAAAGGCACACAATTATAACCATGTTTGAAACTAGCAGAAGTTTTAAAAATGCAAAAAATTATATGTAAACGGAAGTTATCTCTCTATCTCTCTATTTCCATAACCTCCCTATCAAAACTACTATTTGAGGTCTGAAAATCTCTTGACCTGTTAAGCCGATTATCGTTGCTTGTCCCATGTCTGTGGTCCCATGTCTTATTTACAATATCGGTTGTTGTCCCATGTCTCATTTACAATATCGCATGGCACACCCATGTATCCAATGTATGACTGTGTTTATTCAAACAGGCTTATTGATCTCAACGCTTCAAAAACTGGAAAAAAATCAAACAATGAAAAGAAAATTAAAAATCACGAAGTGGAACCTATGAAAGTGCCGACACTGCTTAAAATTTTTCAAAAATTGAAGGTCCGACGGAGGGGCTCAATGAATTTTTTGGGGGCTCCTGCCCTTCCCCCCCACCAAGCACCCCTGGTGGTGCCATCCCTGTTGTCCCCGGAAAAATATTTTAAATCACGCTATTTGGAAATTCAGAAAAAGGCCGAAGTTTAATGTTTTTTCTTTTCACAATTTGCTTTGCGAAGAACATTCTCAGTCAAATTGACTGTATTTGAAACTCTGAAAGGGTGTTGAATTTGTTTAGTTGGTCACCCTATGTACAAGCGCCTACGTAAGGGCCTTCTTATTTTTTCTGTATAAGGTGTTATCTTTAAAGTTGTTAAAGAGAGTTGTCGCCTGAAATCATCGCGAACGAACGCATTATCACAACGAAACGCTGTATTTCATTTATTCATTCACAAATCATCACAGTCTAAAATGTAACTGTTTGTTTTATTATCATCGTCTTCTGGCAATCTTTTAGTCATTATAGCTGGACTTAATATTTACAATTGTCGTAAATGTTGGAAACTAAGGACGCAGGACCTTCCGTGTATCCTTACAAGGATGCTCAGCCAACTACCCAACAAAGGGTGGCAAAATATTTAGGTGTCAAATGATGTAAAGTGGTTTGCAGATTTTGAAAGTTAGACTAAAGCCCAAAGCCTAAAGCCATTTTTCAGTTAGCGCGACACTATCTTCTAAGATTTTACAGAGAAAGCAACTTCTCTTTCCAGCGTAGGAGACGAGATTCTTTTCGATTGAACGCAATCTTCTGAAATTTAGCAAAATATTGACTTCATTCTCATCAAACGGTAATTTATGAATTTTTGAAAGTTTTAAAGCGTTTCTTTGAAAAAATAAAGAGGGGCTTTAGCTCTTAGCTCACTAACTAGACCTGTTGTATGTGATTGCCTTCTTGTTTTCTATAAATTATGCTGATGGTCGGCATTGACATGCTGTCTTAGTTAAGACTTATTTGATAACGCTTTTTCAGAAGTTTGAACCAATTATATTTTCAGGAATATTTTGGGTCTTAAGCGGTGCATTAGTCTCAAATCCGCCACCCGTTGTGGGCAAATTGATAATTTTTTATTCAAGATGATATGGCGTTAATAGTACCTCCTTCTGTATAGAAAGAATGGGTTAAAAAAGACATAAGATTAAACTTAAAGTAAAAAGACACTAGATAATTTTGTTCATTCACTAGTAACGAAATATTTAAGTTTGAGGAAAGATTGTGAATATTTAATAGTTTTTTCAAGCTACTAA